ACCAACTTCTATTGGTGAGAGAGACACGCTTTCGAGCTTACACAGAGCTCTTCTTCACAAACAGAAGTTGGTCCAATAAAGATAGTACCTCACCCACCTTGTCTCTCCAATATCCTGGGACTACCATAACTACAACAGTGCAAACAACAGACAAGGACAATAGTCATTTTGAACAGTTTATAACTCCATTAAAGCATACAACTGCTTCTAACAGTTGGTGAATGGAATGTGATCAGGTAGAGAAAAGGTACTTCACCAGCCGGAGGGATTTTCTCTTGCTGAATTTCAAAGGCCTGCTGCAAGCATAGAAGGTGTTGAGGCATCTCAAAAAAAAGCCTGCAAGACTCTTTTATAATGGAAAGTGTTTGGCAGACTAAATTATAGGAGGTGCTACCCACTCCTCCCATAACGTGTACAAAGAAATTATTCACAAACTGGAGATTGAGGGGGAAGAGAGAAGCGCCTGCAACAGTGGGTTTTCAGCAACCCCATGGTCTTTAGAGTCACTGCCACCAAAAAATCCCACCTCTTCAGGCTCTCACTCAGTATAGAAAGGCAGCTATTTATATGGTAGAGACTCCACCCCTAATCCCAGCCTGCATTGTAGGTTAGGCACACAAAGATGGTTAAAATGGTGGACCACATTTCCCATGATGCCTTGTAATAGGCAGGCTTTTTAACCCTTACATCACTTAAAGAACTGGAGAGCTCCAGCTTCTGGTCCTCAAACCAGGGCTAACAGGAGGGGCTTCCGTCCCATACTATATTCCCTAGGCTACTTCCTCTTCATCAAGCATCCATTTGCAACAGAAAAACACTGAATTTGTGTTTTTAAAAAGAAGCTTTAGTTTTTACATTTTATGAAAAAATAAAAACATACACTGTGGAACCCTCATTATCCTATCTAATTGGGACTGGGGCGAGATCCGATCATCAAAAATTTGGATAATCAGGAGAATGGGCAATGCTCAGGCTGTGAGCCTTGGGTGGCGGGGCTCTGGCTGTCAGCTTAAAAATTGTAAATATATCAATTAAACATTGTGTTCAACTGATACCTATATATATTGTGACTAGGGAAACCAAAGTTCCATGTTTCATTTTAATTGCGGAAAAACATGGATTTTTTATGTTCTTTTTTAATCAGAGAATTTTGTTTATTTTATCATGGAAAACTAGGATCCCTGCTCATCCTAAGATTTTGTATTTTAATTTCCCTGTTTCTTCAAGAAAAACAAAAGAAAGAAAAATCTAAAGCAACGGGGCTGGAATATAATTTACAAGGTCCACAGTTTGTCTCCATGCTCACAGCAACTATAAAAATCAGCAGTATACAGGCTCCCTCTTGTGGAGGTGATAAACTGTGCAGATGCATGAAGATTTCAGCAGTCACTGCACTGAGCTCTGCCTACGGACAAAGTTCTCTTTGTTCTAAACTTTCTTCATAGATATTATCTACAATATTTGGTCGCACTGTTAGTATCCCAGCTCCCAGCATTAGCAAGGATTACACGGCTGGGCATGAATGAAGCTCAGTTTTTAAATGTTTATAACGAAGCATAGGTGCTGAAACTAGGGGTGCTGCCACACCCCCTGGCTTGAAGTGATTTCCAATATATACAATTTGGTTAAATGGCTCTCAGCACCCCCACTATACAAACTGCAAACACTCAGACATGAATTTAACGTTTAGTATTGTGTTTGCAGAGTTAGGGTCCAGAGATACGTAAATCTAGATGCCCGAGTCTCACACAGAAGGTCTCGATCACAGGCAAGGATCCTGGAGCATTTCAGTTTTAGCAATCAGCTGTTCAAAAAAAAAAAATCCTCCCCTAAATCATGTAATAATATTGCCTGCTACGCAGCTATGTTTGACCATGTTTGCAGGCGCACACTGCCAGTTAGTGGCAATGGAGTGAGGGATACTGAGAGGGATAGGAAGCCAAAAATTGGCTTTCCTTGGTTAGAAAATAGGTATTTGGAAAGGGAAAAGACAGTACAGGAACAGCATCAGAGCAGGGGCTACTAATGGAACAAGGGTGGGGAGGGGTCACTATAACTTGCAAGTCACCTATTTTTAGTGTAAGGTATTTGCTTGGGCCCTTGGCAACCTTGTGTTGGGGTTGCTAAAATTCCCAAACACTTATTTTTAAAACCTTAACCCTTGTTCTATTTAAGTTTCCTGCCTCCCATACCCCCACTGCACTCCCTGGTCTGTCATATAGATAGTGTACTCCTCGGACCTGGGTTTGGGGCCTGGGTCTCCTCTTCCCAAGTGCTCAAAACTCATGAGTAGCCCCCAAAATAGCATCAGATTCTAAAAGCAATAGGTTTGGGATCTTTTTATTTGCCTGCTGCTGGTGGAACTTTTAGAGGGTCACAGTTGCAAACTTTTCTCTGCAGCTACAAGGGCTAAAAAAAAAAAAAAAAAAAAAAGGGCATTTTTTTTTCAAAATGGAAGCTGAGATTCTCACATATCACATGACTCCAGGAGCTGCGGCTTCAAGAAATCAGCATGAGATAGCAACATTCTTTCCCTTACACAGGTATGAGATAGGAACAACTCTAAGTCACTGATGTTACACTCATGTAAAACTGGCAACAGCGGAGGCAGCCTCTTTTACTTAATCATCTGAGAAGTGATATGCATAGTAAGGATCAAATTCAGTCCTGGTGAACTCCAACTCTCAGGCCGGGTTTTCCATCTCCTTACTCCACTGATTAAGCTGCACCAGTATAAGGCCAGAGTGATGCAGCAGGGAATCAGGTTCTAGCAGCCCTAGCAGGTGCAAGGAGCATTCAACACCCCCTACAACCTAGCACCTTTGAACAGGCATCTCCATGGGAATTGAGGATATAGATGTCATTGCTCTCCCACCCCCAAACCATGAGGGCACAGAGCTCCAGTGCCACCTTTCTGTCCAGTCTAGCCAATAGGCTTGTTTAACAGCTCCTGCTGCCCCACTACCCTCCATAACAGTGACACTCAGACCCAGGAGCTGCAAGTGACTCTTCACAGTGTCCTGCATCTCTTTGCAGCTCATGATATTAAAACACTGACAATTATTAACCCATGTTATTAACCAATCAGAAGGCTTTTACTATGTTATTAACCAATTCTAGAGTACTTGTCCAGTCATTTTGCTGTGATAATATGTTTATTTATAAAAATAGTAACTAAAACAATGAATTCAGACTCCTGTGGCTCTTTTGGGTAATGCTGATTGCTAACTGGGCTCCTGAACCACAAGATCAAACTGCAAAGCTAGTACTACCCCACCCCAAAATTAGACAACATCTGTGGATACCTGTGGTCATCCTGGTATGACACCTAGTGGCCCAGGTATGGACCCCCCCCATACTTCACCAGGACCACACCCCAGCATCCCTTAATAATTAGTGCATAGGCACTTTTGTATGAGTCAAGTAACTCTTTTGCTGGGGAGTTATTTAGTTTTCTCAGCCAAACCTATTATACCAGGTTCTTCAGCCTTTGCCCTTTCTTGGAAAGAAGAGATTTTTTCCTGCCCCCTCTGAGGGCTCATGGTTAGCTTACATGCATATCTCTGCCCTCCCCAGGCCTACTTCCATGCAGAGGTTTTATGCTGCTTCTTGCAGCTAGCCACAGTTCTTCCCTTCCTAGGCCTACCTTCTTCCTGATGGGTTTGGCTACTCCTCACAGCTAGGCAGTTTATTCCTGCTCACCTTGGGCCTGCCCTCTTCCTGAAGGACTCGCAGGTAGTTTTTTCCTCTTCTCATCCCCTCCAAACTGACTTAGGCCTGCTGTCTCCTCCCTATTTATACTCCCAAGCAGGTGGCACCCCACCCCCTCATCAGGCCCCAACAGGGTGCACCTGGTTAGTCATCAGGGTGGCTGAACTCACTTCATTTAAGGCTGTGATACCATCCTCTTCATGGCCAGTGTAGAGATCTCTTCTGCAGCCCACAAGGTGTGGTGCTCTCCCCAGAAGTTACCTCACCCAGCCCTAGCTGCAGACCGGGTAATTTAATTGTATAGCCTGTGTTATTGTGTGGTAGATACTGGGCCTCAGGGAGTGATTTTTGTATTTGTTTTCATTACTCCACAGACTGTAGAACCATTCGGATCAACTACAGGGTACTGGCTCGTATGGGTGAAAAAGCTGGGCTGGTACATTCAGTTGCATATCTTATCTATGTTCCTGTTTGACTGTATTATGTGCAATAAAACAATTGATTTCATATCACTATTTTTGTTAAAAAATAAAACCACCCCAGAACAAAACACGCCAGCATTATCTCTTTAGTGCAATAATGTGCCTTGTAAAAGTACTATCCAGCCAACCTACGTCTTCATGCATCTCTCTCTCTATGGACTCACAGTAGTCCAAACCTCACTAAAGAGGAGGGCTATATTTTGTATTTGTTTACCACTAGACAATACTTATTCCTTTCACTCAGCATAGCTCATGGTAGAATGGCTGCAGCTGAGAGGAGGGGACTTACAAGTGATTCAATGGACAAATTGGTTTCTCTCTTCAACTTCTCCCCACTGAACCCTATTACCCACTCTAGAGTGGGATTTTTCTTATTGTTACTCACTGCTTTGCAAAGATCAGTTTTGTCACTGTTATTCTTTCCTGTGTCCATCCATCGGTTTCTTTGCACTCAAATATATTTTAGAGTGGTGTGGTGGATGAAGCACAGAGCTAGAAACACCCAAATGTTAACCTCTGCTCTGCCATGATTTGCTGAGTTGCCATGGGGCACATCAGTTTCCACATCTGTACCATGGGAACAGCAATACCTACCTCAGGCGGGTGTGGTGTGCACTAATGTAAGCAAAGCAATTTGAGTTCCTCAGATGGAAGGACCTATAGCTGCCCTTGTTAAGAACATGTGACTCAACAAGCAATCCTTGTTAAGCTGTGTTGTTATTCCATTGCCTGTTGATCCAGTGTCATCAGTTTCTAGTAAGGGCACCCGATCTGGTAGACAAAGCATTATTTAATTTCAAGACTTTATAAATATTTATTTACAAAAAGATATTAGTCCAAAGAGTTTAACAAATGTACAACGCTGGAGTTTGAAGAGATTTTACAATTTCAATATATTGCTTTAGTATAGGAAGAAAAACATTGTTAATGCAATCCCACGATTTAGATCCAAAAAAAAAGACTATGCTTTTAAATTAAAAATACCCATCCACGGTTATATTCTCCCCTCTGATGTAAAAGACCAATCCCCCTTCAACTGAGTTACAGGATAAGGGAGAATTGGTCCCCTCTCGACGCCGCTTTTCAAGCAAAACACGTCACCTTCCTCCATCTAACTGAACAACATAACCCAAAAGTCCACGAGCACACAGCAGATGCAGATTTCTTACCAACCCCAGTGAATTTGTTGGCGGGCACAACTTGAGGAGCATTACAGCATGGATTAGTGTAATGTAAACCTTTCTGCCAAATTGGCATTCAAGCATTAGGTTTCTTAGACAGCTCCAGAATATGAATTATTCAGATTGCATGAATCCACCCTGCCAGCAAAACAGTGAGTGAGAGGAAAGTGGCCAGTTAAAAGTTTGGAATCATACCCTGAATTTTTAGTGAGGGCTGTTTTCAACTACTAATAATGTTCAGCTGCACTTTACTAGCAAGTGAGCCTGAGCATTTCTCTATGTGTGTGGAATACAGGGGTCACATATGCATGTAGTGTTATATATATAGTACCAGTGGGGGAGAATCAGCGGTCAGTTATCTCCAATAACAGCAGTGCCATCCTTTGCAGACAGACTGGCAGTCAATGCAGGTCTGCAATACACCATTTTCTGCAGTGGCAAACTTACTGATGCACTTATCAGGCATCACCACCCCCCATCTATCCCAGGGAGCCTCAGATACCGCCTTGGGCACAGTGTAGATGTATCATGGTCTGTTAAGGCAGCATGAAGTACTTTGTTTTATTAGTGATGGCCAGGCAACAACCACTCACAGCTTCACTTTGCTGCTAGTATTTTGCACGGCTTCCCCTGAAACCCACTGCCCATTCTCATGCTCTAAACTAAGGGTTTAGTTCCACACCATCCTAGCTCCTGCCTTATTTGGGAAGCAAAACTTATATAAATTGAGCAAGGTGGAATCAAAGCTGCAGCATAACCTCTCAGTCAGGTGGTAATTGGGCTGTCCAGAAGATCGAAGTATCATTCATAAGTAAAGTAACTGAGCTGCTTAGATGTCACTTTAAGATCCCACCCAAGCCAATGACAGAAGTCCCATTGAATTCAATGGGAACAGGTTCAGGACCAACATCTGCTAACAGGTCATCTTCTAGCTACTTTCAATGTACAGAATAAGAGTGGGATTTAGACAGCAATTACCTCCAACAGCAGAATTACTTCTGCAGGTAGTAATTCTGCAGGGTGAATTTCTATTTGATGCAACTGCTGGAGGGACGGGGGAGTTCTTGAATGATATAAAACCTGCCTCATTTACATTTTTCACACTGACAAATTATGAGGAAGGATGCCCAGTAGTTTTATCTCTTACTTCACCCCGGACTGTTTAGTTCCCATTTAGGCTCCAGATCAATGATTTTCTTTTAATTAAAAGATCAGGTGAATTAACTCAAGTGCCTTAACCAAACAAACTATTAGAAGAGCTCTGAAATGCAAACTGTTGCAGAAAAACTGAGAGTAATTTGCTATGAGAGTTGACCTGAAGTCTTACAAGATTTAATTTAAAAAAAAAATCCACACACAGTTTATGTAGCTCCTAAACTCATGGTCAGAAAACATTTACTGTTGTTCACCAGTATAAATCCAATCCAATTTTGGATCAGTCTTCAGGATTCGGCTTGGTCATCTTTAACCACAGTCTGCGGAAGAAAGAAAAGGGGCATTACTTCAGAACTAAGCTAGCCACAGCTGGACTCCTAGGGCAAATGCTTCAGAAAGATGGCCTGTGCCTTCTTGGATAGGAAACCCTTGACAAATCAAAGAGGTTGACTAAATTTGAGCCAAAAAACTGAGTTAGGCTAATGTCTTCACTGCAAAATGAGGTGTGTTTTTATACTGAGTCAACTATTTCAATGTAAAATCCTAGTGAAGATAAGGCACAGGTAGTTTTTACCTTGATGCAGCTAGTCAACCCCAGGTGAGGGGGTAGATTGTTGACAATGGTGTGCTACAGATGGAACTTAGTCCCAAGTATACCACAGAGTATCACGCTAATTCATCAGGACGTCAAGCTGCGAAGAGGGCAAAGTACTAATACCCATGCTGGGGAACTCCTAATAAGGAGTTCTTCCACCCCTCACCCCATACTCTCTTTAGGCCCAGGCAGGGGAGGAAGTTTGTGGACAGAAACACAGATATGGTATGTGAGAAACAGCCTTCCTCCCCACTCCTGCAGCAAGAGATTTGCAATGAAACCACCACTTTTTACACTGCCCAGCAAATTGTAAAACCAACCTAAAATTATTGAACGGTACAAGCTTTTCTACATGCAGCAATAAAGACGATAAAACTCAGCCCAGTTAGCTTGGTCTTGCTATGGCACTGCCAGCTGAAAGCTACTGGGCTAAAGAAGACTGCTCCAAAGTAACTTGGTTAATGAGCCAAGTCTCAGTGTCCCATGTGCCCTATTTAAACACATGCTGAGAAGGAACATTTAGGCTTCACTCAGTAACCTGTGGGATCCTCACCTGCCGCAAGAACTGTCTTCCAAGATAGGAGGTAGCCATGCTGGTTAAATTTGTTCTTCTGCCCACTTTACACTTGATATAACCATACAGGTTGGCCCCCTGTAGCACCACTCCCATTGTAACCACTGCCTGTGACAGAGGAGAAAAGACACAAGGAACAGGGGTTTATTGTCCAGTTCTCTAAAGTCAGAGGTGACAAATCTGTCCAGGTATTTAATGCACCCAGTCACTATAGGATTGAGGTGCTAAACTCACCAGCCATTTCACTTTGAATGAGAACAGGGCACTGAAGGCAAATATCACCCAGATGATAGGACAGGTAACTAGTCCTAACCAGAAGATTCGGGACTCTGCTTCAGATGAAACTTTTTTCCCTTGAGCCGATGCCTGGAAATGGAAGGAAGTAGAAACTGAGCAGTCTGTTTCCTTGTACAGCTCACAGTATCATTAAAAACGACCCAGAACCAACATCCCACAAGTGTTTGAATCCATGCTGCAGCGCACAAGTGACTGCTAAGATGCACTCCTAAAGCACGTGGGAAGCTTTCTAGCCCTCTTGGTGCTGTGGAAACATGGCATTTTTTTTAAAAAGGACTTTTCCTGTCAGTTTTCTGGCTGAAATGAAAAGTGTGGAATACGCCCTTTGCTATTTTTAGGGACTGGATAAGGGACATTTTTGAACTATTAACATAACACCCCAAGTTCCTGATAACATCAATCACCAGAAGAGCGTATCAGTGGCCCATCATCACATGCCCTAGTGTACAGTGTCTCTATCACAAACCAAGGGGGGGAGGAGGGGAGAAGGGAACTAGTGATACATCTTATTACTGTTAGGAAGCTGGTGTTGCCATAGCCAGCAAAACTTCCCCTCAAAACAATCATCAGCTAACTGGACTGCCGCATCTTTATTAACACTTAGCACTTGCTTATTAAAAAGTCCCTTGTAGTGTATTGCACTGTATAATTATACAGCACGAGACAGGCCAAGACATACTGCAGAGCCCTTGGTATATTTCAAAGCACTGTATAGTCAACTATGTCTAGCTGTTCCCAATAGATGCAAAATTAAATCCTTATACCCTTGGTAAGCAGGCCAATGTAGAGTAGTACAAACAAAGGGGACAGTGCTAATTCATACAAACTTACTATGTTTATATGTTTTCATACTAGTTCCTAGTATTACTAAGCCTGAGGTCATGTCCACCAGATGTGGAAAGAATCGAGCCTGAGAGCACAAGCTCTCAAGCAAGCATCCATTCCCTATTTATATATTTTCCCCCAAGACAATATTAACCTAATATAGCTTTAGGAGGTTCAGACAACTCAACTGAACTGCAAGTATTCTATTTCTTTTCCTCTGCTCTAGTTTCTCTAAACTAGTTTGATCTGGAGAAAGGGTGGTCCAGTGGTTAAGGTGTTAGTCTAGGATTTGAAAGACCTGGGTTCAAATTCCTGCTCAACCACAGAATTCCTGTGTGTCCTTGGGCAAGTCACTTAGTCTCTCTGGGCCTCAGATCCCCATCTGTACAATGGGGATAACAGCCTTCCCTGCCCCACCAGGGAGTTGTGACAATAAATACATTGAAGATGGTGAGGTGCTCAGACACTATGGTGATCGCGGCCATATAAACATTTAAGATTAACAGACAGATCTTTTAAGAACATAATGGCCACACTGGGTCAGATGAAAAAGGTCCATCTAGCCCAGTATCCTATCTTCTGACAGTGACCAATGCCAGGTGCCCCAGAGGGAATGACCAGTATAGGTAATCATCAAGTGATCCATCCCCTGTCACCCATTCCCAACTTCTGGAAAACAAAGGCAAGGGACTGATGAAACATTATGAGAGTTAAAATATTTAATATCAGAAGTCTTACATTGACTTCACACAGTGAAATGGTCTCTGCTCTTGGGATCCCACAAATGAAAGCTGGGGGCATGGCTGGACTCTAGCTATCCACGATGACCCGTTTCACATTTACACCAAAGGACATACAGAGCCTCTAGGTCACTGGCTCCATATCATATCAGGACAGGATAGTGACTGAGAACCATTCAGAGAGTGGCTGAGGGTTAACAACATTTGATGGCCATGCACTAGCCTGTATGAAACAAACTGGTGCTTTCAGCCTGTGACTAGTGCCAAATGTCCACCTCACAAAATCCACCTCTCACAAGTGTCACTCCTCGGTACATGGAGATTTTTACCAAACTGCAGCAGTTAAAACACAAACATTAAACATTTACCTTCCTGGCTTCAAACACCCAGTGACTCTTGCCATCATCATCCACCTGGTTCCACCAGCGAAGGCCGACCATCAGCCGACCCGTAACATTCTGGAGAGGGTTAAATACAGGAGGAAATGGGGTTCAGAGAGATTTTAGCCCTATACCGCCAACCAAAGAAATCCTTCCTGTATCTTGCCCATGAAATACCAGAATGAACATTCAAAACCAATTCTTCCCATGTCTTCTAAACTCCTAATGTCTTCAATTGCTATGGCAACCTCAACAACCAATGCCACCACTTATTATATCAGTTGCTACCAGACCATATTCCTTAAACTGTATTATAGGTGATGCTGGTAGTTATCGGCATGGCTTATATTTATGGCTGCCTAACAGTTCCCATTATAAGACAAGGAGGAGGACATACACTGGAATTTGTAAGACTTTGTGATATGGGCCTCATCTGTCAAAAAAGTCATCAGCTGTCACTGTTTGAACTGAAATCTTCCAAGTCAGTAGTCTGCCTCAGGGTGGGAAGACTGGGGCTGGCTGGATATCAGTGGGATGAGTGGGGAAGTTTGGGACAAGTAGCCTCGGAAGTGGACTGGGGATGGGAAAGACTGGGACAAAGAGCCTGGAATGAAGATTTAGGATCACAAATAGCATGTGATCTTGTAATTTAAGACTGTATCATAATTCACACATACTGTACTGTACAAGGGGATAAACTAAGATTGCACAGGCAACCTTAACTCTAGCATCTCCTAATTTCTGAGAGTGCTTGACACCGTAATCTTAACGTTCTTTTAATGTAAAGTTTATGTGTAATGCCATGTGCTGTAGGCTTGCACTAGGTATTCTAACTGGGCTCCAAAGATAGCTTCTCGGTATCCTTACTCTGTCCAAGGCATTAGCAGAGCTCAATTGGGGCATGCTGTTGGGGAAGATCCTGTTGTTTCAATATTAACACTTCCAGTAATAAGGTAACTCATCAGTCTGACGGGCTAGGCTACAAAGTCACCATATACATAACTCTGCTAAGAGTGACAAGCAGAAGCAGCTTTAAAGAGAAAGCAGTTTATTAGTACCACCAAGCAGCAGAACTGTGCACTCCTGTTTTAAAGCCCAATAATGAATTTGTATTAGGTGTGCGTTAGTAATAATAATTAACATGATATTCCAGGGCAAGCCACAGCAACAGCCTGGTAGCTTCTCTTGAGGTGGGAACTGAGAATGCCTTGTCAAATGCTAGTGCAGTAAAGCAAGGTGTCTTCATTAGAGGGTAATGGAGTGGAAAGCCAAGTTCCTAACAGTATTGGGGTAGTACTTTATTCTTGAATTTGGTGATCTCAATAAGCAGAGTCAAGTATAATGCAAGTAGGCATTGTTTAGGATCTCTCGTGGCCATGCCAATGTATTTTCTAGCATCTTCAGCCCAACAACAATTAATTTCAATATTAAGAAAAAATGTGGGTTGGAGTTTTCTGGCAAGTCTTGAATCTGAAGGAGACCTCATCATTTCTGTTTATGAAGCCTATACTGCATTACGTGAATCAAAGGGAAGTCTGAGATTAACCCCCACCCCATCCACCCCTCCAAAATAAATGAGAGAGAGACATAATTTGAGATTAAGAGATTCCCAGAATTTCTAAAGTTCTTAAAGAAACTGTAATGTTTCATAACTTGCAGGATCTAAAAGAGTTGACTTTATTTTTGAACAAAGCCAAACATATTCAGACAGTTTGACCTGGCCTATTGCTCTCTTGAAAGAATATTTTAAAGTGATAAAAGGGGACTTACCTTTACTGCCCAAAAGTCACACGACAGGAGCAGGATAATTGACACCATGCAGGCAATAAAGCTGCTGCTGATCAGTTCACAGAGAAGATAGACAACTATTGCACTGACTCGGAAGAACAAGTGGAAAAATGATGCCACTGGGTGCCTGTAAACAATACATCAGAAATACAATTCAGTCATATGTCTCTGAAACAAGACTGAAGCCACTTGGTAAAGAAATGACATGTTCTCTCAAGGCAGAAGAGGATTTTTTTCATCTGCACAGCCTAGGAGGGCAAACTCCTTTAAATGAGGCCGATTTGCAAAGCATGCTGACAACAGTGGCAAAGATGAGCATCACAGCGCTAGTACACATCATTCTATATAGCATAACAAAGTCCTCTAGGTTAGAGGTTCTCAACCTTTTTCTTTCTGAGGCCCCTCCCAACATGCTATCAAAACTCCATGGCCCAGCTGTGCCACAACTGTTTTTCTGCATATAAAAGCCAGGGCCGGCATTAAGGGGTAGCAAGCAGGGCAATTGCCCGGGACCCCACACCACAGGGGAGACCACAAAGCTAAGTTGCTCAGACTTTGGCTTCAGCCCCGGGTGATGGGGCTCGGAGCCCCAGACTGCAGACCTGGGCAGCTGGGCTTTGGCCTTCTGCCCTGGACCCTAGCAAGTCTAACACTGGCCATGCTTGGTGGACCTCCTGAAACCTGCCCTCCGCAGCCCCCCCAGTGGAGAACCACTGCTCTAGGAGATAACTCCACAGACTTATCCTGCCTGTGGCCATTGTTCAAAGTGCATGCAGGATTTGAGGTGGGAGAGAAGAAGGGAGCAGGTGAAGCCCCCCAGAAGTACTCAATATGTAGCAGTTTTTGAGTGGTAACATTAAGACAAACACTCTATTGAGTTGAACAGAACCAGAACACACCTCTCTATAGGGAAATGCTGCTCTTTTCTCGGTCTGCTCTGGTGCATTTCCATTTCAAAGAGGCTTTACTCTACAGGAGCTCCCTGCGTATGGCTGTACAGCGCATTTGGGGGTAAAGCAGGAGTGAGGCTGCTGGATCAGCCACTATGATATGGCATGCAAGGGGAAGAAGGGTAACAGAACAGAGGCTATTCCAGACATGAGACTGGAGAAAGGCTCATGGAGTGGCCTAGAAAGAAGGATTCCTCCCTCTATGTCCTGAAAAACTCCCTATTACACAAGACGCAGTGCACTGGAGCCAGGATTTTGGCCAGTTCACACCTCTTATTGTTTCAGACTGTCTTCCTGAGTCTGCACACAGACAACATAGGGACCATCGCAACCATAAAGACGTGGACTTTTTTTAATGGAAGATTAAATTCTTCAGCAATTCATGAGTAAGCCTCCTACGCTCCCCATTTGCCAGGAAACATTTCTTTAAAACATGACATTCACTTCTAAGAGAGAAACTCACTGCTCTTGCACCAATAAGTAGACAAGAACAAACACACCAGTCCTGCCTCTGCCACATTTCTGGGTGGAACCCATGAAGGAACAATTTCTACTGATCACAGACCTTATCTTTGACTTTTTTGATCTCGTGGATACTTCTTCATCTGCGTCAAACAGTGACACATCTTCAGTGTCATCATTACTGTCCTAAAGTGGCAGACAGATACGAAATGTTACAAGAGAAGTAATTGATACAGTATTTTCAGATGCAAAAAGGGGATGGTTTTGATTATCCAGAATTATTCTGATGTGGCCTTAAGGTCAAAGAACTTGGAAATTAACCAAATGCAACAGAAATTACACATACACCCCAAACTGTTTAAACACTGTCTCCTTCATCTTGCATCACGTGAAGACCACCTTAAACACATGCTTTGAATCCAAAGGGCCCTTTTGCAAACAGCAGGGTAATCTCAGGTCTTAATATAAGTCCTTTATGCACACAGCCTCAGTCCTTTTGAGCATTTCTGGACTTCTTGTTTATTTTCAGAGGCATAAACCTTGGCTTGTCCATGTTATATTAGGGTTCCACAAAGGACAGAAATGGTGAAATTAGGGGCTGTCTATTTCTCAGAAGTTGGAAGTTACTTGTCTAAAATCTGATTTACACATACTTTTTGCATTGGTATAACTATTTCAGTAAAGAGTGTGATTTTTTTTACCAAAATAGTTATAAGGGTACAACCCCTAGTGTGGACAGTTATGCCAGTATAAAGGGGCCTTCGCTGATATAGCTTATTCTCCTTTCCATGTGAGAATAAGCTATACTGATGTAAACACCTTTATACCAGTATAACTGCATTCACATTAAGTGGGTTGTATCGCTTAAACTACACAGATATAGTTAAATCAGTACAAATTTTATGTGTAGACAAGCCCTCAGATATCTCCAGTGAGGTAAATTTTCCTTTCAATGGGCACACTTAACTACCATTAACACTAAATCAGGCATTTGTGTGACAGGGTAGCATTTTAAAAAAAACTTCTGGCACATCTTTATCACAGAGTTTACAAAACTAAGATAGAGGATCTTCTCCTGCCTTCACTGTACAGCAGATCCTTTCTGTAAGGCCTGCCCAAGTCCAAGATCTTCGGAGTCACTCGCATGCAGAATGCTGCAGCGTTGCTACGCATACAAAGAAAATCACATCATGCATTCTTCAAAATCCTTCTGGCTTCCCATTCAATTCAGGAATCTGCTCAAATTTGCCCTAACTGTTTTTACGACTCTTACCACTCGGCACAGTGGACCTACCGCAGCTCAATACACAGGTCATGGGTCAAATTCAGTGTTGATGTAATGCAGTGTTACAAATTAGTCTTTATTGAGAGATCTCAGGCATTCGCACAACTGAGCTTTTTTCAAAGTTCCATGTATCTGTCTGCATTGGCTTTATGAATTTATATTAAACTTGAGTTATGCTTGTAAGTTCATGTCCCTGAATGTCTGATCCCGGATGTTTTTTTTTTTTTTAAATTATTTGATGAACACTACACAATACAATGGCACATGTCAGCCCTGATTTTGCAAACAATCAAACAACTGATTAAGTATATGAGTAGTCCCAGGGACTACTCACATGCTTAAAGTTAAGCATGAGTTTAAGCATTTGCAGGATAAAAAAAACATAATCTGGTCATTTTTTGTGTGTGTCATTTTCAAAATTTGGCATAATTCCTTGGCATCTACAAATATATCACATCACTGTTAAGACACCTTTCCTATAAGAGTTTCTATAGTTCTGTTAAATAACTGATTATTGAAGATTGCAAGAGGTTTAATAAAGAAACGCATTCATGTCTTTGTTCTTTGCATTTACTTGGCTCAATGAAATCCAGATCCCTGAATAGGGCCTACTGATGCTACCACAATATAAATCCTAATTAAGCAGTAATTGGCAAATGGTTTAGTTAAGACAGGGATCGGCAATCTTTGGCACGTGGCCTGCCAGGGTAAGCTCCCTGGCGGGCCAGTTTGTTTACCTGCCGCGTCCGCAGGTTCGGCCAATCGCAGCTCCCGCTGGTTGCGGTTTGCCTCTCCAGGCCAATGGGGGCTGCAGGAAGCGGCGGGAAGCGGCAGCCAGCACATCCTTTGGCCCGCGCCGCATCCCACAGTCCCCATCGGCCGGGAACGGGGAACCGCGGCCAGTGGGAGCTGCGATCGGCCGAACCTGCAGACGCAGCAGGTAAACAAACTGGCCCAGCCCAGCAGGGAGCTTGCCCTGGCAGGCCGCAGGCCAAAGGTTGCCGATCCCTGAGTTAAGATTTCCGGTTACTAGTGTTTCTCCATGTGCGTTTATTTTCAGGTCAATTATTGCTTATTTTTAGTAAAAATATTTTGGTGTTTTAAAAGTGTTTCAGCTAAAGCATTGTTTTAAAAAAAGGGCTCCTCACAAGCCCCCTACCTCCAAGCAGCGGTAGATCCCTGGTATTCATATCTTAACCTGCCCCCCCCCCCCCCGTCTCCTAGTAATTCTTTTGCTATGCTCCCACGCCCTGAAATAACTGCTCTGACCCGATCACCATCTGCCCAGAATCCCTTCCATCTGGACCCTGGCCCTCTGACCTCAGCTAACCGCCAGCCCTGAACCCCCTTCCACCCTGACCCCTGCCCTCCGACCCCAGCTCACCGCCTACCCTGAACCCCCTGCCCTCCGACCCCAGCTTGCCGCCTACCCTGAACCCCCTTCCACCCTGACCCCTGCCCTCCGACCCCAGCTCGCCGCCTACCCTGAACCCCCTGCCCTCCGACCCCAGCTCGCCGCCTACCCTGAACCCCCTGCCCTCCGACCCCAGCTCTCTGCCTGCCCTGAACCCCCTTCCATCCTGACCCCTGCCCTCCGACCCCAGCTCGCCGCCTACCCTGAACCCCCTGCCCTCCGACCCCAGCTCTCTGCCTGCCCTGAACCCCCTTCCATCCTGACCCCTGCCCTTCGATCCCAGCTCTCTACCTGCCCTGAACCCCCTTCCACACTGAGCCCTGCCCTCCGATCCCAGCTCGCCGCCTGCCCTGAACCCCCTTCCGCCCCGACGGCGGCACCGCCAGCTCTGCTCATCCTCCCGTGGTGGCCTCTGAGCCATGAACCCTCCTCCTACCTCTTCAATCACCGACCCCTGACCCTTGGCCTCTGACCCTTTGGCCCTCCCCGCGCCAGGCCATTGCCAGCAGAGACCGCGGGGCAAACCCACTAACCCCGGGCTCCCCGGGACCCTCCTCACCTGCCGTAGCATCGTTGGAGCCGCCTCACTTCCGCCTCCCGCCACGTCACCGCCAGGGGCCAATCCCTCACGTGAGCCCCGCCCGTCGCGTGGCGTCATCACACCGCGCCAGGTGGGCGCATGAACAATGCGTGAGTGACAGCCCCTGGGCGCGGAGACGAGAGCGGCTGGTTGCCCTGGCGGGGCGCGGGCTCTCGGCAGGACCCCGTGTAGGCCCAGCGGCTCCTCAGGGCCTACCCTGGCGCTGGGGCGCTGCAAGGCCGTCCTCTCCCCATCACCAGCCTCTCCAGGCTCCCTGCCCCGCCCCCCCAGCTCTTTGTGGCGTGGCCGGGCCGGCGCCTGTCGGCTGGAAGGTCCCCAGAGCAGCCCCCACCCCCGTGTTAGGGGATCGGAGCCGGGCGGTTTCCCCACGGCGCGTCGCCCCGGGTAACTGCATGGTTGGGAGGGCCTGGTGCTGGGGAGAGGTGCCATGTGCCAGGGAGCTGCAGTGCTGTCAGCCCGGCACCACGCATCTCCACTGCAAACCCTGCAGCACCCAGTGTAGACACTTGCTGCAGCAAGGTAGTAAATCCTCTCGAAAGGCAGCAGCTAGGTCAAGGGAAGAATTCTTCCATTGGCCTGTCTGCATTACAGGGGGGGTTAGGGGTTACCATACATCCGGATTTTCCCGGACATGTCCGGCTTTTTGGTCCTCAAATCCCCGTCCGGGAGGAATTTCCAAAAAGCCGAACATGTCGGAGAAAATAGGGAGGCATGGTAAGGGGACTCCGAGTGCGAGTGGCTGCAGCAAAACTTACAACTCCCACGATCTGCCGAGGCACAGAGGCAGCGGGCGGCATCCAAGCACGCAGCCGCCTCCTCCCCGGGCTCCAACTTTCCCAGCTCCCGCCGCTCTCCACCGCGCGCTGGGGCCGAAGCAACTTCCCCAGCGCAGCAGCAGCCGGAGCCCAGGGAGGAGGCAGCTGCGCACTCGGATGCCGCCAGCCACCTCTGTGCCCCCGCAGATCGGGGGAGTTGTTAGTTTTGCTGCAGCCACTCGCACTCGGGGTCCCCGAGCGTCTTTTGCCCGAGTGCTACTGGCTTCACGGTTTGCAGCGCGGTTGGGGTTGGAATGGGAGCGGGGAAGGGGCGGAGTTGGGGTGGGGCGGGGCCCCTGTGGGGTGTCCTCTTTTTTCAGTGTTGAAATATGGTAACCCTAGGTTAGGTTGACTTAACTATGCCTCCCACGGGGCATGACATTTTTCACAGATCTGAGTGATGGAGCCAGGGTGACCTAAGTTTTAGGTGCAGACTAGTCCTGAGGTAGGGATTTGTAGCAATGTAGTGACTCTGATGTGAATTCCCTTCACATATGTTGCTTTCTCTTTACTGTTAAGAAAGATTCATTCTTTAACTCAAGGTAACTAGTACATGAGAGCTATCTTGACTTAAAAATACAGTCATGATGAGACAAGGCACTTCAGATTGATCATGGGTACACTAGGTGAGGCCAACCCCAGATGGACCTGTCTAGTTGACTAAAATGCCTTGATTTCACTGTATTTTTTTCCCTTGGGATTGCTCATGCGCATTAGTAAACCTGAGGTAAAAATCACACCTTTTTCAGCAGCAAAGACAAGGCCTTAGAAAGTGCTCTGCAGTTACAACTACTGCTAAGTCAGCCCTGCTCCTAGTTTTGGCACACCAAGATCCAAATTGTGATGTTTGGTCCTCAATGTTTCCAGCTGCTCAACAGCATTAAAAGATACTAAAAGTATGTTCAGCATTTTCCAGCTCTTTCCTTTCCACATGAGCAATTGCTGTAGTTGTCAGAATATGTTTTTCAGTCACCACCTGAAGCAGGGTGGCATATGCAGTTGATGAAGGGAGGGGAGCAGGCATCTCTGTTAAGGTGCAGTCCAAGCAATGAAAAAGTAGGAAAAACTCCTGGCTTAGCAAGCTGTTGGGTATATACAGCTGCAGGTTTCTATGCCAAGTATCCTTAGAGATGTCTTCAAGATTTATCTTGGGTTGTGTTTAATCTTCTCTGACTCTTAGGACCAGATTCTCTTCTCCCATCAGTTTTACACTCAAATAACTCGACTTCAGTTGAGAGATTCCTGATTCAGACTCGTGTATGAGAGGTAGAATCAAGCCTGTAAGCCTTGTGTGTGCCAAGGAATGTAAGGGAAAACTTCCTATTGGTGCTATTACTGATGGCTCCTACTGCTCCAGATACAGATATCTCTCTATTTTAGAAGTAATTTGGTTTGTTTGGGAATCGCAAAAGATTGTGGAAAGAAAACAAAATTACAAAGTTATTTTAGGAAGCAGAAACTACTTTTTTTCCATCCTGCAAGTCATAATAAGTTTGGTATAGCACAATGCCTATTACAGACCTTACCTGGCACAGAAGGTTTATATTAATTAATGGAGATATCCTATCTCCTAGAACTGGAAGGGACCTTGAAAGGTCATCAAGTCCAGCCCCCTGCCTTCACTAGCAGGACCAAGTACTGATTTTGCCCCAGATCCCTAAGTGGCCCCCCTCAAGGATTGAACTCACAACCCTGGGTTTAGCAGGCCAATGCTCAAACCACAGAGCTATCCCTCCCCCCCACTTTTATGAAGACAATCAATTTTTAAAATCACCAATTTTAAAAACATTTTTTCTGCTTTTCGTTGTTTGTGAATCTTTGCAGAATTACTGTAGGTGACATCACTTTATTCTGCATATGTGAAGTCAAAATTAGTTTTACTGCAGCGGGAGTAGTATGGGGGCTTAACTATTTTGTCAAGTATAAGAAAAAATACTTAAGGCTTATTCCTCACCATCTCTCCAACCTGGAGATCTGCGTGGGTAAGAATGAGTTTGCTCAGCTCTTGTATAATATGTAGAATCAGTAATGATTTAATTTTTTAAAAATGAGTAGTTCAAAACCAGTGAAAGAATCAAGAAGTATTTTCATCTTGCAAAGTTTTACCCTTGCTTATTCCCAACAGTGTCAGCTTTCTACTAATTTGTACTTGCCCCTGAGTGAATGGAACTTCTGGGAATGAGTCTGAACATCTATAGCAATATTTCCTATTATCTCTATAAATAAATATTTAAAGCACGTAACTGGTTGGCTCAAGCATCCAAATGCTAGTGAAAATGCAGACAATGAGTGGAGAAAAGGCCTGGGAGGAGATGAGAACCCACGTTCCCTTTGATATGACTCAGAGTTATGGGTTGGCAGCACCTGTCTGGATCAGGCCAAACGTGGTAATAAAGAGCACTTCACAAACAAGGGCCTTGATCCTGCAGACTTGTATGCTCCAGAGCAATAATGGAGACCCAAACTACAGCACTGTGCTAATGTATGAAAACCAGAATGTGAAACTGACTACCAGACAACTTAATTACCGCATCCAAAATAAGTGAAATGCAAACAAAAATGAAATGTGGAGCTTAAAATAAATTTTTAAAATTTAGTTCAATTTAATAATCTCAGGTCACATGACCGACAAGGGATTTAACATGATTTTGAGGTTAATGGTGTCCATTTAAGTTCTAATTAAAACCAAAAGTGATTTAATTTTGTAAACTACAGGTGGAGGAAAATATTGCAGCTGAGAGAGGGAGCTGAGCACAGTTGAACACACTGAGATTGTATGTCCTGATGCTATATAAGAACCCTGAGTTGACTGGTTAATCCACTTACTGTGGTTGTCTGTGCCTTGCAGATACCAAATATAAAGCCATGGTCTAAGTAATTTGACACATTCCTATAGTCAATCCACTGGGTCCAATCCTTTCAATGGGAAGAGGGTCTCATGCACTCTAAGGGCTTGTCTTCACTAGGAAATTTAATCATGTCTAAACATGATTTTTAATCTTGAGTTAGGTGACAATGCTGACAACAACTGACTGGTCAGCATCCGCAAGGATAAATCGTGTTCCACATTGTGTCAGATACTGATGGGTAAACCCTAGTACATCTGCACTGACTGTCAGCAGTGTGTTAACTAACTCAACTGTTAAAAATCAAGTTTAAATGCAACTAAATTTCTAGGGAAGATAAGGATGAAATTCACCCCTGTGCAGAGACCCAGCACTAGGCCTATGCACTATTTTCATCCCTCTTAAGCCCTCAAAGTAAGATTTAAGCAAGACACGGCCTTGTGCTGACCCTTTATTCAGGGTGAACTTGACACTAATAAAATTGGTCTCAGGAAAATCCATGTAAATTTTTCAGTACGGAAGCAATCTATGCTAGAGTAGAGATGTGCAAGGCTCCTTGATGCTGTCTGCTTGTATTTACAGTTCTCTCTCTCAGAACAAGCAGTTTCAATTACAGTCCAACAAGGAAGATACAAGTACAAAGAAATGTTATGGTTGGGTACATTTATTTTGTATAATAAATATGCACATTTGATGTGGCTCAGACACCTGGTGAATTGCCCCCAGGATTGCAAGGGTCAGGCACCCCTTGCTCAAAACATAGGTCAGATGATCAGCCTCTTGGAGCTTGTCTGAGGCCTCATGAGGAAAACTTGCAAGAATAGCACTGTGTGGTGATCACAAGGGGAGATGCTGATGATCACATTTAAATCAGTCTACAGTAACACTAGGCCCAGCTGAATAATAATCTCATAGGCTGTTGTGAGGACTATTTAACTATGTCAATAATATTTTCTTGAAGAGTCATGCAGTGTTCCTTATATAATCCCTCCCCCAACAGAACATTGAAGGCCATGAGATGGTATCCTCAAATGGGGACCAGAGCTGAATCAAACAATTTGAGCAACCCAAGAAGCCCCAAATCCCATCTATTTGTTTGCATTTATTTCTTTAAAAGAGCTGGTAGTGTGCCTTAAGGAGCTTCGCTCAGACATACACATTAAGCCCAAGTTCGGGGGCAGCTATTTTTCCCTCCTTGGTGAAATTGTCTATGGGGAGGCCTTTAATTTTCTTTAACCAGGCCTTCCTACACTCTTTTTGCTGGTCTGCTATACGTTTTGTTCGGTGAGCTTGATACTCAACAGCTGTAGCTTCTTCATACATTTTCATCTGCTTCACTGTCAGAAGCCTGAACCCGGTGTTGAGCCGGTAAGGATTTGCGGTTTGTAAGAAGAGGGGATTTTCTCTCCGGGGCCCTGCTTCAATTTTAGTTTGTGCGATCATCATGCGTGTCGATTTGATGGATTCAGATGAGCTTGTTAAGTGGCCAATCAACTGAGCCCCACCCTCAGATAGGGAAGTGGCTCTGCCATGGCCAGTATGAACCTTCTTCTCGTCTGGCAAGCTGCAGCATGACTTGGAGCGTACAATCACGGGAGCAGGAATGAAAGAGTGCACTGCAGACCCATGCAAAGAGTTCTTCAAGTTGAGCTGCAGTCTTTTGGTTTCAAAGGGTGTGGACATTCTTTTCATAATCAGAGAGCCACTGGCAGATTTAATGTGTCTGAGTTGGGTGGACTGATCCTTTTTCTCTTGCTTAGGGATTTTGTATGACAACATCTTTTTAGGGCGTTCCTGGGGGCGCAGCCGAGGTCCCCAGACATCTCTGATTTTTGCAAGGGGTATCATATTGGAGCTGACTTGGTCTGGCTTGTGGGCGTGCTGCAGCGTGCTAACAGTCAGGAGGATCTGGTCAGGAGAAGTGGGACAATGCGGACCTCGTTTCTTTATACGCTGTAAAGCGGCCTCTGCGTTTTCAGCAAGTGAAGATGCATGGACCGGAGAGTCGTAGCCAGATTCTTTATCTATTTCCAAAGATAAACATGAAGAAAAGACAAAAATATCTGACTCTATATATATATATATACGTATATATGGAAGTGATTTTACAGTGAGCTGGTGGTGGTGGTAGCCTGTTTGATCCTTCTTGGAGAGATGGAATCCCCAAAGGGGGCTGATAATGGGCACTAAAGTGACAGTCCTGGAGACTGAGTTTCCATGTTTACCCACAGAACAAGCACAGCATGAGGAGCAGCAGAGCAAGCTTCCCCAAGGCTGTCCTATCTGATGTGTGTCCATCCTAAGGGTAGCAGAGGACCCTCTTTATGGACTCAGTCACCATCATTCTTTGACCTGACTGCCAACAGTGGTGACAATTCTATGTTAGTTATCTATAGAGTGCCAGTTGCAATAGTCTGTAGGTGCTAAAATAATTTATGACACTGGGTGGATGATTGTTTATGGGTGCTTTGACACCTGTCCCGGTTTCCTTGAAGTCATGGTTTCTAATGGGAGCAGAATTGGGTCTCATGACGGAGATGCCAGTAAGTGAACTCAAAATGCCAAGTCAGTTTCCAACATAAGCCGCTGAACAACAATCAGATGGTAACAACTTTTGGCCATTACATATCTGAACTGGATTAGAATTGGAAAGCTCAAGGTGAACAAGGCATGGAGCTTCTGATGTCTGAACATTTTGGAGAGTGGTCTCTGTTGTGTGATGAAGTGGGCCAATCACCGTCTTTCATCATCATTCCAAGATGATCTGATTATGCCCAAAGTTAAGAAATGCTAGGGATTTTAAAATGAGAAATATAGCAATATAGAGCACACAGCATTAAGGACACTATTCTTGCCAGGTATAGGTAAATGTGGAGTATTAACTTAAGTAATCTCCAGGTAGAGATGGGCCTGATGCGAACCCATGATCCAAACACCTCTGAATAGTAGGGATCAGATCCTCAGCTAGCATAAAGTGGTGTCGCGCCGTTGACTTCAGGGGAGCTGTGCCAATTTACACCAGTTGAAGATCTTGTCCCATGGGAGTTTGAAATCCAAATCCACACAGGGATTCAAATTTTGCCATTAAATCCCACTTCTATTTATTAAAAGTTATTTTCATGACTTTTCTGTAGTTTTTACCTTGCTGGCTCCAGATCTTTTGCTTCTTGTTCAGGTTTTCCTATTTACGAACCCTTTCTTTGTGCCCGTTTCACATGCTTTAACCTATTGTTAATATTACTTGTCTTTTTGCCCTCTCCTTACCCCACTTCATCCTAACCTATCTTTTCCATAGTCTAGGTAGCTTACCAACATGTCCACAGCTTCTCTTCTCTGTCCTCAGACTCTTTGGGATTCGGTTATAATCCCCAACCAGTTCTGAATTTAAAACTCATCTGCCAGTACATAAAATGCCATTGGCTTCTCTAATCCACTGTGTTAGCCAATGAAGCACTCATTGGAGTGGGAAGAGTCATTGTAAGGTTTCCCTTTATCACAGCTCATTTCTCCAGTGAGAAAACCATTAAGACCCATATTCTGCTCTCAGCTACAGCCGCCATTGAGGACAGAATGTGATCCAATACAAGCCATAGGAAATATGAAAGTTGTCGGAACATCATGAAGGACTGTATCCAGCCTAGATCTATTCTAAAAAATAATAAAGCCCCAACCAATGCTCAGGGCTGCCCAGACAAAATTAAAATACACTAATACAAACAATATAACAGAGAAGAAAAATGATTTCCATCAGATCACCAAGGAGCACACCTGTGATCTCTAGATTATCTTGTCAAATTTCAATGTAAAACCACCTTGCTGGCTGGCTCAGCCATGTTGGAACAAAATGTATTTACAGAGTGATTTCTTGAGCAAACTAATATTGGCATTTAAATAGTAGCTAACCATTTCTTCTGAGAACTTGTGTGTGGAAACCCTCTCCTTCCCTCCCCAGAAAAAGTTACTTTTTTAGTAAATCAAAGTGACTTTGACATTTAAAAGGAAATCTAAAGAGTAGCAATAATTGCATAGGGGAAGAAATGGGCCCAAATATTACATAACTTTTCTAGGCGTCACAGTTAGAAGAGATCACTTGATTTAATGTCTGTTCATCTGCCTGACCTAAAACAGCCTCATAACCATTGCAGGCCCCAAAGAGATCCACTTACCCAGTGCAGACTCCAGATAAAACTTCTCATTTACTGCAGGCCTCTTACCCAGAGCATATTACCCCTTACCATATAATCTATCTATCTTCAATATTTCTAATGCAACCATCACCATAGCCTCTAGCCACCAAGATCTCTTACCAGACTCTGACAAGCTTTGTGGTGTTGTTGCACCGTATGTTCGACCTGAGTCCTCTGAATCACTGCTATAGGCCTGTCGTTTCCCAGGAAGAGCGGACCTTTTCTTCTGGTCTGGCTTTATATCAAGGCAACCCATGCTCCTTTGCAAAGTCTGACTTGATCGGTGAGCAGGTGCCTTCACAAATTCATAATGGAGACCTGCAAGAAATGGATTAATCCTGTAGCATTAAGATTTTAAAGCTAACTGTCTTTTATCTACCAAGGTCGTCATTATCTATGTATTTTTTGAGTCTTCTGGCTTTCGATTACTATTTTGTTTCTAGTTCCAACTTCTAAAGTTAGCGAGCCATGGTTGACTGAAAAATATCTACAAATGTTTGAGAAGCTAAAAGTATCAGAGAAGCTTGGAAGATAATGATAGCTCCATGCCTCCTTGTTGGGAAAGATTCAAATCTGGATTATGCTGGTGTAAATCCATAGATTCTACAATCACTGACTCTGAGGATTTACCGAGGTTGGAATCTGGTTCATTCCCTCTCTATTGCCTGTTTCCTTGCAACGCATGGGTCTTCAGACAGGTGAATGGCTGTGTTGGGTGTTAATGCCACACGACTGTTTTAACAATCCTAAGTAGCTGAGATGGCCCTGCATTTATGACATTAAGACATTTAATGGTCTTGCACTAAAGGACTGAAATAGAATCTAAGCTGTGAATTTCTTCACAATGTTTTTGTTCTAATAAATATTTTAGGACTCAAAGACACAAGCTTCGCCGTGTCTCAGACATGTGGTGTCTGCGATATAGAGCACAAGCTCAGAGTTGCAGGTTTCTGCATCACAATTTGGATTCAGTAGCCACCCATAGACTCAAACTGCATCGGAATGTTACAGTTTGAAGAGTGTAAGCCTGTGTGGATTTAGTCTTCATCTTGGTTGTGAAGTCTGATCACAGATGCTGCTAAGACTTATACTGTGGGGGGAAATTTTAAAATAAGTAATAATTGGTGCACCACTCAGCAGGTACTTAAGCATATGCCTAACTTTAAGCACATGAGTAATCCCACTGACTTCAGTGAGACTACTCACATACACCTCTACCCCGATATAACGCTGTCCTCGGGAGCCAAAAAATCTTACCGCGTTATAGGTGAAACCATGTTATATCGAACTTGCTTTGATCTGCCGGAGTGCGCAGCCCCGTCCCCCCGGAGCACTCCTTTACCGCGTTATATCCGAATTTGTGTTATATTGGGTCGCGTTATATCGGGGTACAGGTGTACTTAAAGTTAGACACTTGAATAGCTTGCTGAATTAGGGCCTCAAGTTTCTAATGCACCCTGCTTCTCAGAGGATCCTAAAGGGCCTTACAAAATATATAGCATTGCTGAAATGCAGCAGCCGTCTAGCACACATCCCCGGACAATGGTGGGGGATTGGGCAAGGACAGTGGGTACCTGAAAATATTTCCTAACTCATTTTTTTAAACTGACTAGATTTCAGGTTGAGGCTGCCCCTTTAACACAGTGCACTGCAAGAGGTGTATATGGTACCTGAAGGTGTCCCGGAACCCCTTGTTGATCGACGGCGAATCAGGTATGCCAACATTAGCTGGTCCTCATCTGGTTTCTTGTCGGAATAATATATCTTCCTGTGGCTGGCTGCATCCCGTTTCATGTGCTGAGCGCGAACATATGGATAGGGCTGCACTCTGACCCTGATTTCTTTGTGCTTTTCCTTATCCTTTGTTACTTCCTCTCGGTCAGCCTGTAGCGTGTAGTCCCACTCTACATCCTCAAACTGGAACATCAGTACGCTGCTCAGAGCATTGATCACCATCCTAGGAAGGGGAGAGGAACAGTGCTAAGAAACACACATTGTAATAATGGTGTAGCAGTTACCTGTTGTGCCAGATTGCTTGTGTGCACTGTTACAGATGCTGAGGTGCATAACTAGAATTGAAGTTGCAATTGCTTGGTTGGGGAAAAGAAAATGAGCAGTGTTTAGATTGTTGCCAGCCCTGGTGATCAGACCCAGCACATTCCAATTAATGTAACCTGAATGTAAAGAACACTGTTGAGTTCATTCATTGCTAGGTACAACTGGGAATAATGGGATGAAATCATGAAAAGGAAAAATTTTCTGACTGTTAGGCTGTGAAATAGCTCCCAAGAGAAATGGTGGTTGTCCTGTTGCTAGGGTCCCTTGAATCTGGGTGAAAAAACACTGGGAACAGACTGTAGGGAACAAGCCTACTCTTGTCTAGAAGGATGGATGTGACGAGTAGGCCTTTTTGATCTCCTGCATTATGAAAATGCAGTAGAACACTGGTGTGTTAAGAGCGCACGTGGGTCTGATCCTGAACCCACCCAAACTCTGAGGAAATTCAGATCGTAATCTTGATCCCACTTTATAGCTTTGCCCTATCTCTAAAATGGGCCTGAATCTAAACATCAGGATGAATATCCCATGTTTTGGGGAAGTTTGGATTGAAATCTGAACCAAAACACCACACCTACTTAATAGAATAACATATTGCAGTGATCCATAGTCAATAAACCAGCAGAATCCTCTAAAAAAACCCACCTGTTAGGGCTGTAAAAAGGACATGATTTCTTGAGCAACACGATCTGTCTAACTGGCTCAGAGTCTGAGTGCAACTGCTATTACCCACCTATTTTCTACAATGCAGAAGGACACCACAGGGTCACCTCTGCTATTGGCCCTCATCACCTTCAGGCAGGTCCCAGTCAGGAAGTTAAATATACGTATTTTTCCATCAGCGCAGCCACTGATGACTCGGAGATACAGAAACGCCAGATACAGGACTTCCCTGAAAACAAAACACCGAGCATAAGCACATTCCTTATTCCTACATGAGAAGATTGAAGTAACAAGGTTCTTTGATGGTGAGTGAAGCAGGTCCATCTCTGCCTGCAGGGTAGATGAGAGAACTAGTCAGGTTTAAAGGAGGCTGGGGAGGATGAAAATCACCCAGCAAATTCCCTCCTAATCATTACTGTCTTCGGAATGGAGAGATGGCCAAAATTATGAAGTCCAGACAATTTATTGGACATATGCATGCTCAAAAAATGAATGAAGCAGTCATTCGTAGCAACCACTGTGTTTAAGACCAGTCGCGGCTTATTAGCTTTGCCAGTAGGCATTTTCAATCACATCTCTTCCTTTAAATAACCTCTGAAAGTAAATGCAAACAGTATGGTGATGTAGTCTTATCACAGCACAGTTAAAATCACAAAATGTCATGATGTGCAAAGGGAATGGTTTCCACAACAAAACTAATGCCTCCATGTTTCACATATGCACTATCTTCTGTTTGTCTTTTCTGCCAAAATATGTAGTTTAACATGCTGTTGAATATATATTAGAGGTTCCTGAAATTTTGGTGTATCTGGATCCCTTTTTATCTTAAATCATCCCTGCTTCTATGTCAGTAGCAAAGAGGTGGGAATGATCTTGTTTTCCTGAACTCCTTGACTCGCAGTGGGTTATTTGCTCCTGGACTGGGATAAGAGCACCCCAAATTTAGGTGGATTGAGTCCTAGATGTTAGCATTCGTCATGGCTGGGCGCATTTGCATCTAAGTCTTTACAGTTTACATCCAGAAGGCATAAGATCTGAATTAGTTTTTCTGCCAAAGAATTGTGTTTTGTTTATTCTGTTTTTTCACCTGCACTCACATCATACTAATTATAGGCAGGATTAGTATTGCCACCTATTTTTAAGGTTGCCTGACACTTCCTGTTATAAGACCCACTTTCCAGTGGCTTATAACTCTGTCTAACTGTAACTGCGCTGAAATTTACCATGTTGGGTGTCTGCCTCACGTTGAATGTTTTTGGGAAATTTCAGTCAAAATGATTTAGCTGTTTCGATAACAAGGCAAAGGAAAAACACATTGTTTTTCTCCTTATTAAAAATGTTGTGACCTTTTATTGAACAACTCTAGTATCACCATGCTTTGGAGCAGGGACTTGACATTTGGCAGTATATGAACATGTACTAAAATACCGTATCATAATGCATACGCGTAAGAGGACTGATTTAAGGTTGCACAGGCAACCTTAATTTTGGCATACCCTAACTTTGGAGTTTTCGACTTTGCAACCTTAATAATGTTTCGTGAAGGTATATTATCATCATGGGTGAAATCCTGGGCATATTGGAAGTCAATGGCAAAACACCCATTCACTTCAATAGGGCATGGATTTCACCCCTTGTATTTAGTCGATCAGTGCTTTTCTGTACACTTGAGGACCTCTTCATCACCATATATAATATCATACATAATAGTTTTCCCAAATGTCTAGCTTTATTGTGTCATGGGACAACATTGAATGCTGCTATTCCCTTGTGAAGGTAAGAGTTTTATGCAAGATACACAGTCCTAGGACTTTGATTCCATCTGTTCTGCGGGGATTCCTTACTCGGGAGTCACTGTTCCATTGAATAACAGTGAGTTCCTGGAAAACAAAAAACCCCTCCCTGCAGGACAGGGAAAATTTTAAAGTGTTAGGACTGTGAATTAACCCATTCTATGTAGATATATTCCTAAGCAGGTAACAGAGTTCACTTTATTGAGTCAGAGCTATAGGAGACACACAGACATTTGTTATCTGTGGATTCCAACATGTGAATGATACCTACTGTGGATGCCTGAAAGCCATTAGACATCGCTTATGTTTTCCCACCATGCTCCATCCCAGGACAAATCCATCAGAGCTTCCTGTCACTAGATGCCATTGATCAAAGGCCAGGGATTTTATTGGGCCTTGGTGCCCTTCTAAGGTCTGGAACATGAAAAAGCCATATGTCACATAGTGTAACATACTATAAGAATTCTGGGCATACACATAGCCCTAATCATTCTCATATTACAATCACAATACTGCCCTCCTATGCTTTATAATGGATTCTATAGAGGATTACAATATGCCCTTTGGTAATAGTTTTGATTCAGTACTCACTGTGAGTGAAACATGCCAGGCTCACTCTTGGTGGCCAGACACTAATGTGGACTTATTCATTCATTGGCCAGGATCACTGTGTGTACTATGTGTAGGGCCCTATCAAATTCACGGCTATGAAAAACGTGTCACGGACCGTGATATCTGGTCTCCCCCCATGAAATCTGGTATTTTGTGTGCTTTTACCCTATACTATACAGATTTCACAGGGAGATCAGCGTTTCTCAGACTGGGGGTCCTGACCCAAAAGGGAGTTGCAGGGGGGTCACAAGGTTATTTTAGGGAGGTTGCAGTATTGCCACCTTTACTTCTGCGCTGACTTCAGAGCTGGGTGGCCGGAAAGCGGCGGCTGTTGGCTGGGTGCCCAGCTCTGAAGGCAGCACCCTGCCAGCTGCAGGGCAGAAGTAAGGGTGGCAATACCATACCATGCCATCCTTACTTCTGCACGGCTGCTGGCGCTGCCTTCAGAGCTGGGCTCCCGGCCTGCAGCCACTGCTCTCCAGCTGCCCAGCTCTGAAGGCAGCGCCACCGCCAGCAGCAGCACAGAAGAAAGGGTAGCAGTACTGCAACCTCCCCCCCCCCACACAGACACACATGCACTCAATAACCTCACGATCCCCCCACTCCTTTTTGGGTCAGGACCCCTACAGTTACAACACCATGAAATTTCAGATTTAAATAGCTGAAATCATGAAATGTATTATTTTTAAAACCCTATGTGCATATTATTGCAGCTGAGAATTAAACTGAGACCTTTAGGGTCTGTTAAGTGAATAATCAACCAAGGAAGACAATATGAAACTGCCCTTAACCAAGCTAGTAGGAGCCGTATGTAAACTTGGGTCATCTAGAAATGGAATATCTTACCCTTGATACACATCTGTACATGCAATTCCATCAGACTCTTTTCCACCAATAGAAACTGCTTTTCACCTCTCAAAGAACACTTACTCTGAGCATACACTGGTATAACTGAAATCAAACTGGCTCTGATCTTTAAATTACAGTGCAGCTGTCTGGATATCCCTAATCTTTATAAACTGTTTTTGTTTCTGCTAGAAACAAATTTCATTTCTTGGTGTAACTATGCGTCATCCCCAGCCCTGAAATACGGCTATCATCCAGAAAATCCCTGCTTGTGAACATTCACCCAAACAAAAGCTCAATCATATAAATATCTGCAAACAGCAAAAAATTAAAGACCAGATTAAATGTCAATTTTTAATTTGGTGAATTGTTTGCCAATAGGCTCTTACACAGGTCAGCCATCACTAATTCTGTTGATCATCAGTTACCAGTTTCATACCTTTTTCTTTCTTTCTTTTTAAAAAACACCTTTGGTGTAAACAAAAAGCCATGACTAGTTGGGGTGAACAGATATGTAAAAGGTTGTTATAAAGAGGACAGTGATCAATTGTTCTCCATGTCCACCAAGGGAATCAGAGACTCATAGGGGTTAGAAGGGACCACAAGGTTCATCTAGTCTACCCCCTCCCCCCCCCAAAAAAAAAAGATTTCAGCTGTCCACATTGGCTTAGCTTGCAGCAAGGCAGATTTAGGTAATTAGGAAAAACTTTCTAACTTTAAGGATAGTTGAGCACTGGAACAGGTTACCTGCGGAGGTTGTGGCATCCCTATCAATGGAGGATTTTAAGAACAGGCTAGATGAATATCTGTCAGGGATGGTCTAGGTAAACTTAATCCTGCCTCAGTGCAGGGGAATAGACTAGATGATTTCTTGAGGTCCCTTCCAACTCTACATTTCTATGATTCAGTGTGTAGTAGAGAGAGAGAGCCTGGTGTAAGATCTGAGGCTGTGAATCAAAGTCAGGCCTTGTATTAAAGCAGATGTTTGCAAGTTCACTGTCCAGTACGTGAATTTGGCAAAGTTGTTGCTAGTGTACTAGGCTCTAGATATTTGCATAAATATATTCCAGCTAGTACAGATACATCCCCCATCTAGTATAAGATAAGATGGTTTGACAAAACAATGAATAGGGATGTTTTGTTCCAGATATCAGGAACCAGGGGAGATAACAAACAGATGTCATGAAACACATAAGGTGGTGCGTAAGATGTTTTTTCCAGTTGTTTGTCTCAGTCTATAAATGTCAGGGTACCTCGCCTTAACCCTTTGTCCAGCCCAGAGGGCAGCAGAGAGTCCTGCTTGCTGACTGAGCTGAGTCCATTGTAACAGGCCTACATGTGTTAGTGTACCCATAGACATAGATTCAGGGAGCTAGTACTGTGCTTTGTTGACAATAAACCTTGCCGAGCGCCTTCGCCACTGAACCGAGTCTGTGGTCTTTCTAGGTAGTACTATCGAGGTCTGCTGGGCCAGCTAGCTGCTCAGAGCTGAGACAGCACACAGAGAGGAAACACCCAAATACGTTTCCAGAACACGCTACGATTAGGAAGAAACATACCTTGATCAACACGCATGTATCAACGTGCCACACTTTCACCAACCCTTTTTCGCAACCGCTCACAATGTGGGTGTTGTTGATTTTAGCTGTCCAAATGGCATCTTTGTGTTTTAAAGTTTTGATGCATCGCCCGGTGCTTAAATCCCACACTGTTAGGAGTGAGAGGGAGAAACATAAATAATGTCCACATTTATTTGTCCATATCACTCTGGAAAATGTGAATATAAATTATTATTTGAGTCACAGTTGCACCTAGAGGCCCCAGCTGAGTTCAGAGCCCCCTTGTGCTAGGTGCTGCACAGAGACAAACCCTGCCCTGAAGCATTCACAATCTAAATAGAGAAAGCAACGGCGTATCATTATAAGCCCTGTTTCACAGGTGAGAACCTAAGGTCACCACAGGAAGTCCGTAGCAGAGCTGAGGACTGAATCCAGGTCTCTCAAGTCCCATTGCCATAACCACAATGCCATTCATATTGTATAAAACCACTCTAATAGGAGTTGCATGCGTGGCCATTGCTTGCAAAGCAAACTAAGCTCCATTGTGAGATTGAAATCCACCCCCTGGTTTCCATGCTGGTTGTCAGGATCACACACTGTCTGTGCTATAAAGATACATATTGGGCCACTTTCCCTGCTGGTCTAAGCCAATCCAAACCCCTTTGCTGTTACCACTGGGATTTGGAATGTGGCTGGCGGTGGCCCCCCATCAAAGCCTTGGGGCTATTTCAGCGATTGCTTGCTCACCTTTGACCATGCAGTCTCTTGCTCCTGACACAACCCTGTTTTTGTACACGTCCAGGCAGGTGATGGTCCCCGAGTGACCGTTAAGGATCTTCACACAAGCCCCAGTGAATATATTCCAGCATCTGCAGAGTAAGGGCCAAGAAGGGGAGAATCCTGTGATTCGTTAATTGTTAATTAATGACTTATTTGTTATTATTGCCTGGTTCTCCTCGCGCATACACTGGTGTAAGTCAGGAGTAATTCCACTGAGGTCAATGAAGTAACACTGAGAAAAGCCCGATGGAAGGGCAGTAGAATCAGGCCCTAATATTTAGATACTCGATCTTATATTTTGTTCTGGTGGCACCAGGGCTGTCATGGTCACATACATCTGGATTGCTTCTCTGGCTACCCAGCAATGGCTACCTCTGCCCTCCAAATGTAACAATCCTTCAGACAGCCCCATTTCCATCTAGCAGCTGCCAAGAAGACCTACAGCTGCTTCACTGAGAAAACCCAAGCACATGGATACAGCAAAGACCATCCCATGTTGAATCAGGTGGGAGACAAAGACTCCATATCTGTGTAGACTCTTTCCCCTCCTATTAGACTGATGTGGCCTTTGAAACAGGCCCTGCCACTGTCATCCCAGAGCAGGAGAACCTGACTTGGGTTTCCGCTTTTGGGCATAATGCAGGGCTATTGTGGCAGCAGATTATTAGTATCCTAAGAATTAGTGACAGAGATGACATAATAAGACTTCCCCTTCCCCAACTTCAATGAGGACGTATCCTGACCTACACCAGTGTATGCCTCTGCATAGTGTAAAGCTGCCTCTATACTTTCTTCCAAGTGCACTGGAAGGTCGTCAGATACCATGGCAATGAGTTGGTATCAAAATGATGGGAAGATTAAAAAAAAAAGCCTCCCAAACTTCAGGGGTGAATTCCTGGCCCTATTGTACTGAATGGGAGTTTTGGCATGGACTTAAACAGGGCCAGGATTTCACCATGGATGCTAATCAGAAACAATGTCTCTGGTTTAGAAATATCGCAACAATCGGTTTTCCTGGCGTACTTTGCTACTTCTTCTTCCAGTACTGGATGAAACGGGAAAGCACAGAGGGGAAATGTCCTGCATGAGCAAGGGAGTACACTAGGATATCTATGATGTGTTTTTCTTCTCCCCTTATTACAGTCAGAAAATGGGGGGAGGGGAGGATTCTGGAAAAAATGCCCAATGTTGGGTTTGGTTTTGGGTTTTATGCTTAAAATTTCCGTTCACTAGATCATTTCAAACTGGATCACTCTGCCCAGTGACCCTCGTATCAGCACTGCTCACCGGATGCTGAGATCAAAGCTCGCGCTCAGCACGAACCCTTTCTTCTCATTGAGGAACACTGCCTTGATGCTCCCAGCATGGCCACTGATCACAGGCGGCACTTCCTTCAGCTCCAACACGTCAAGGAACCTGACTTTGCGGTCCAGTGAGCCAATGGCAAGCAAGTTCCCACCACAGTAGTGGATTACCCTGTGTGGATCTGACCTGGGTAAGCAAGCAGAGACTGAGGAGAGCATCTGCCAAAGCATTACAGGGCTAGCCAGGAAAGCACTGTAGGCTGTTATTTACAGGCACCTCTATTGTGCTCAATGCTGCAGTATCTCAGCTCAGTGAACAGAATTGATGGGCCATCCTGGAAAGGTACCTGGAACCCCTCAAGGTGCCAGTGGGAGGGTTGCTGACAGGGCCGTCCTTACCCATACGCAAAGTACGCAGCTGCGTAGGGCACCAAGAAATTAGGGGCACCAAATTTCCTGGTGCCCTACACAGCTGCGTGCTGCTCCAGCCCCTGCTCCGCCTCTTCCCCATGGCCATGCCCCTGCTCTGCCCCAGCCCCGCCCCCACTCCACCCCTTCCCCCAAGCCCCCGCCCCTGCTCCTCCCCCGCCCTGCCTCTTCCTGCCCCTGCTCTGCTCCAGCCCCGCCCCCACTTCACCCCTTCCCCAAGCCCCTGCTATGCCCCTGCCCCCACTCCACCCCTTCCCCTGAGGACTGCAGCAGAGGTCGGGCATCCTGCACTCACCGGGCGGTGGTAAATGGAGCGAGACGGCCACAGCCCGCTCCGCGCCGCCGGCTCCCATCCGCACCGCTGGTGAGTGCTGGGGGCGCGGTTCCCCCCACCCCTCCAAGACCCAAGGCTGGGAGCCAGGGGAGCAGAGCGGAATGGGCTGGGGCTGGGTCGCTCCACTTCCCGCCGCCCGATGAGTGCGGGGTCGGGCCTGCCCTGCACTCACCCGGCGGCAGGAAGTGGAGCAACCCGGCCCCAACCCGCTCCGCTCTGCCAGCTCCTGCTGGGGGGTGGTTCCTCCCTGCCCCCCAAGCCTGCTCCTACCCCCTTGTGGAGGCCTTCCCCCACAGAGGCCTGGGGCCAGCCTCCCTTCTTTCACCTCCCCCCCCCGCGAGGAGGCTGCGTAGGGCACTAGAATGGCTAGGGATGGCCCTGGTTACTGAGACCCAAGGTTTCAGCTGATGTTTGTATATAGAGCAGGGGTAGGCAACCTATGGCACGCATGCCGAAGGCGGCATGTGAGCTGATTTTCAGTGGCACTCACACTGCCCGGGTCCTGACCACCGGTCCAGAGGGCTCTGCATTTTAAATTAATTTTAAATGAAGCTTTTTAAACATTTTAAAAACCTTATTTACTTTACATACAACAATAGTTCAGTTATATATTATAGACTTATACAAAGAGACCTTCTAAAAACGTTAAAATGTATTACTGGCATGCGAAACCTTAAATTAGAGTGAATAAATGAAGACTCGGCACACCACTTCTGAAAGGTTGCCGACCCCTGGTATAGAGAATAAATCATAGCGGGGAAGGGGATGAGACCCACTGGGGACTGCTGACCCCACTATTTCTGAAATTGAGTCACTATAAAGCCTTTATACAAGGGCATGTTTGGGGGTCAGGGTTCCCCGGACACAGTTTTTTTAAATGCCAATTCTTGCAGCAACAATGTATCGAAATATACATATTTCAGGTTTTGCTTATACACATGTCCACACATACTGAGACACATACCCTATGATACACCCTTACACACACACACAGCTGAGACGCAGCCTCACACACACACCAAGACTCACACAGGCTGATACAATCGCCCCCACCCCCCCTCTACACACACACTCACACTCACAAACTGACTTGCACACACAGTAAGCTGGATCCTCATATAAATACACCAACTCATATGTGCATACAGTCAAAGGGGAGTCTCCTCCTTTAGATCATGTGGCAGGAGCATAAGTGATGGGAGCAGAAGTTTCTGGGTTCTAATCCTGCTTTGCATATGTAATGGGCGGCAGAAAGTGCTGCTTAGGGACTAGATTTTGCTACCCTTGGTCACATTGGGTAGTACCTTACTATAGAAATACTTCCACTGATTCCAGTGAAACTAATATTGGGGAAGGCATGCGTAAGAGGGGCACAATCGAACCCTGAAATTTGGACGCAAATCATGAGTAAGTTACACACCCTGTAAATAATGTGAACCTTATTTTTCATGCAGGGACTTCTACACTAGTTCCATCAAAACTTTGAATAAATAACAGCAACAGTTACCCTTAGAAAAATAAATATGCATAGGAAACTATAGCCTTGTCCACACTTGTGCACTAATAATACTCAGCACTTACTGGGCCTGATTCGCCGCTGGCTTGTACCTCGTGTCTGTATTTTCACTAGTGCAAAGTGGGTGTAAAACACTATCATTCTGATCTGGTGGTGTTTCACAGCCCTGCTGCACAGGTGAAAATGACAAAAGAGTGCAAAGTTGTTGTAGCTGTGTCTCATAGACTCATAGACTTTAAGGCCAGAAGGGATCATCATGATCAGCTAGTCTGACCTCCTGCACATTGCAGGCCACAGAACCTCACCCACCCACTCCTATAATAGATCCCGAACTTCTGGCTGAGTTACTGAAGTCCTCAAATCATGGTTTAAAGACTTCAAATTACAGAGAATCCACCATTTACACTAGTTTAAACCTGCAAGTGACCCATGCCCTATGCTGCAGAGGAAGGCAAAACACCCCCATACTCACTGCCAATCTGACTTGGGGGGAAATTCCTTCCTGACCCCAAATATGGTGATCGGTTAGACCCTGAGCATGTGAGCAAGACCCAGCAGCCAGACACCTGGGAAAGAATTCTCTGTAGTAACTCAGAGCCCACCCCATCTAATGTCCCATCAGCAGCCATTTGCTGCTAGCAGTGGCAGATCAGCTACATTCTGTTGGTCCCAGGATATTAGCGAGACAAGCTTGTCTCCCTCACCAGCTGAAGTTGGTCCAATTACAAGATATTACCTCACCCGCCTTGTCTCTCTAACAGAATGAAGGCAGGCAAAAATTAGGCCCAGTATCTTCAAAGCATTTCCCAGACATTCTCTGATCGCTCCTGTCAAACACTACCCCCATTTTACTGATAGGGAAACTGTAGTGACTCACTTCAGAAGCAGTCGCATCAGAGCCAGAAAGAGAATGCAGGAGTTCTGGGCTCCCATTCTGGTGCCCAACCATTAGGCAAAGCTCTTTCCAAGCCTCGCTAATTTTGAAAGCTGATTTCGCGATGTGGTTCCTATGCAGTTAACTGCCAGCTTAGAGTGTCCAGGGAACTCTCCCTGAACAGCCTGATGGCAGAGGCATGGTCAAGGCTAGTCCTTTTAGCAGGATTTGGATATAGTTCTGCAACACCCTTGTAGCCCACTTGACCAATAGTGTAGTGTGGATGCAAACTGTGCTACCCACTGGTGAAAACAGGATTTAAGGGGAGGCAAGGCACCTGCAGGAATCCCTGGGTGACATGCCTGACCTGGTGAAGCCACCAGTTGGCCCTATAGGTTTATAAAGAGCTTTGAGATCCCCGGAGTTGGAGAGGGGTTGCCAGTGCTAAGTGTGGTGACTGAAGCAAGGGTGCGTGGCATGTACATACTGGTCTGTAAGGACACGAACATTGTAGGAGCCGCAGAAGATGTTTCTCTCCTCCAGCTGGACAGTTTCAGTCATCTGGCCATGATAAGCTGACTGTAGGTTGTTCTCCTCCTAGGGACAGAGAGGAAATAGGAATAAATAACTCTGTTGGGAAGAGATTGCCTATTGCTCTTGCTCCTCAGTTACACTAAAGGGCCTTAAAGGTGATGGGGGACTGACCCCAGAGAACATGCCCTGTGCAGGCCCCTCCCCAGCCAACATAGAGGGCATGTTGGGGGCAGGACAGGGGCGTTCCTTGGAGTACAGTGTAGTAGAACTACTCTCAGAATGTGTTATGGACAAGTCTTTGAAGGCAGAAAAAGTAAGGGGGTGGATATTTTAGATTTGATTCTGACTAACTGGGAGGAACTGGTTGAGCATCTCAAAGGGGAAGGCGACTTAGAATTGATCACGAAATGACAGACTTCATGATTATAAGGAAAAAAAGGAGCAAGAGCAGCAGAATAAAGACAACTTCAAAAAAGGACACTTCAACAAACAGGGAATTCGTAGATATGGGCTCACGGGAAAGAAATCTAAGGGAAAAAGATGTTCAGGAGACCTGGCACTTTCTAAAAGACAAACTTTACAGCAAAACAGCAACCTATCCCAATGCAGAGGAAAGACAGGAAGAACAACAAGAGACCGATATGACTCGATGTGGAGCTCTTTAATGACCTGAAAATCAGAAAGGAGTAGTACAAAAAGTAAAAACTTGGACAAATTGCTATGGATGACTATAAAAGAATAGCACAAGCTTGTAGGGACAAAATCAGAGTGGCTAAGGAACAAAATGAATTACAACTAGCAAGAGACGTAAAAGGCAATAGAAGAGATTCTGTAAATGCATTAGAAGTAAGAGAAGGCTGAAGGAAGATTTAGGTCCATAACGGGGAAAGAGAGTGAATAATGGATGAAACAGAAGGCTGACATGTTTAATGCTTTTTTTGCCTCAGTCTTCACTAAAAAGGTTAATTGTGACCAGATGCTTAACAAAATTAATATTAACAACCAGGGGGAAGGAACACAGGACAGAATAGGGAAAGAACAGGTTAAAGAATTATTTAGATAAGTTAAATGTATGCAAATCAACAGGGCCTGATGGATTTCCCTTCGAGTTTTTAAGGAATTAGCTGAAGCAGTCTCTGAACCATTAGCAATTATCTATGAGAACCCATGGAAGAGGTGTGGGGTCCCAGAGGACTGGAAAAGGGCAAATATAGTACCTATATTTAAAAGGGGGAGGAGAGGAAGAGCGGGGGAATTATAGACCAGTCACCCTAACTTTGATACCCAGAAAGATACTGGAACAAATTGTTTAACAACAAATTTGTAAGCATCTAGAGAACAATAAGGTGTAAGTAATAGACAACATGGATTTGTCAAGAACAAATCATCCCAAAACAATCTAGTTTCCTTCTTGGACAGGATGACAGGCCTAGTGATGGGGGGAAGCAGTAGATGTGATATATCTTGATTTTAATAAGGCTTTTGACACAGTCCAACATGACATTCTCATAAGCAAACTAGGGAAATGTGGGATAGATGAAATTGGTATAATGTGGGTGCACAACAGATTGAAATACTGTTCTCAAAGAGTAGTTATCAATGGTTCACTCTCAGACTGGGAGGACATATCAAGAGGGGTATTGCAGGGGGTGTCTTGGATCTGCCGCTATTCAATATTTTCATTACCAACTTGAATGAAGGAATATAGAGTCAACATAAAATTTGTGGATGAAACCAAGCTTTGGAGGACAGGATTAGAATTCAAAATGATCTTGATGAATTGGAGAATTGGTCTGAAAACAATAAGATGAAAATCAATAAGGGAAGTGCAAAATATTACACTTAGGAAGGAAAAATCAAATACACAACTACAAGATGATAACAGTCTTCAAATATGTTAAGGGTCATTATACAGAGGATGATGGTCAATTGTATTCCATGTCCACTGAAGGTAGGACAAGCAGTAATGGGCTTAATCTGTAGCAAGGTTAGATATTAGGAAAATCTTTCTAACTCTCAGGGTAGCTAAACTGTGGAACAGACTCCCAAGAGAGAATCCCCATCACTGGAGGTTTTTAAGAAGGGGTTGGAAAAATAGCTGTCAGGGATTGTCTAGGTTTACTTGGTCCTGCCTCAGCACAGGGGGTTGGATTTGATGACCTCTCGAGGTCCCTTCCAGCCCTACATTTCTATAATTTCTATGAATTGGGGAATAACTGGCTAAGCAGTGGCACTGCAGAAAAAAATCTGGGGGTTATAGTGGATCACAAACTGAATATGAGTCAAAAATGTGATGCTGTTGTGAAAAAGACAAATATGCTGGGATGTATTAATAGGCGTATCAAATGCAAGTCACGGGAGGTAATTGTTCTGTTCTATTCAACACTGGTGATGCCTCAGCTAGAGTATGTGTCCAATCCTGGGTGCCACACTTTAAGAAAGATGTGGAGAGATGGTAGAGAGTCCAGAGGAGAGCGACAAGAATGATTAAAGGTTTAGAAAACCTGACCTATGAGGAAAGGTTGAAAGAACTGAGCATGTGCAGTCCAGAGAAGAGCAGATTGAGAGGGGACCCAATAACAGTCTTCATATATGTAAAAGGTTGTAATAAAGAGGATGGTGATCAGTTGTTCTCCATGTCCACCAAGGACAGGACAAGAAGTGACTGGCTTAGTTTGCAGCAAGGGAGATTCAGGTTAGATATCATGAAAACTTTCTAACTATCACGATCATTAAACACTGGAACAGGTTGCCAAGGGAGGCTGTGGAATCCCTGTCATTGGAGGTTTTTAAGAATGGGTTAGACAAAAATCTGTCAGGGATGCTCTGGGTATACTTAATCCTGCTTCAGTGTGGGGGGAAGGACTAGATGACCTCTCAAGGTCCCTTCCAGCCCTATTTTTCTATGATTCTGCTTCCCAAGATCCATAAGGGGCTGCTCTCTCTTACCTTGAAAGGCCCTTTGGATATACCTGCAACATACCTTTCCTCTGCGTTTCCATCTGCGGCCTCTTGCTGGGATGATGTCCCCATCTTTATTTATCCTTGGAATTACAACATTGGTCATTTTAGCGTAGCTGGGAATGACTCCCCTAGGACATGACCCCTGGAATAAACATCAAAGGACGTTGGTGTCATTACTACACAGGCCAAATGTACAGCAAGAGAGGGAATAGAAAGCAGCACTTATTTTCTTCAGTTCAGAACTACATACACTTCTGTGGGCTCATGTATAGGAAGGCTGAGCTGCATGCACTGGTTTGTTATTGATGAGTTTCTTAAGCACATTGGGCTGCACACACTGATTTTTGTTCTTGTAGGGTTGCTCCTCAGAGCTGGTACTCACACACCGGTTTGTCATTGTAGTGTTGGGCCTCAGATCTGCTGTGCACATGTTTATTTATAGGTTCTCAGGAGCTATAAATGGGATAGACAGCAAGACACGCAGCCTGACTTTTCACTGAGATGTTTTTACTTCGAGCTGAGTGTGATGCCTTTATCATCAGGGGCTGTGACTAGTGATCAAGGTCATTTTTTCCAAATCAATTCTAATGAAATTTCATTGCTAAATAATGACTAACACTTTTTTATTTGAGAGCAGTTGTCTCACAGCCCTGCCTCCTATTTAAAGGTGCAGCTCTCCAGCAATGGAATTGTAGATACATACTACATAATACGCAGGAACATGACCTTACCAGAGAGGAGGAAGCATTGCAAAACAGCTGAATTGTTTGAAACCCAAATATTTCTGACTCAACCTGAATCCCCGGCAAGGAAGAGGATTGTATAGATCTTGGCTGCTGGTTAAAGGGTGCCTGGGCTGGAACCCAGTGTAGAGGGTGGGCCTGGGTTCTCCTCCCAATCCCTAGGAAGTGGCGCAGGACTGTTGCAGATGCCAGCTGGACAGCTGGTCCACTGAGACTTTGATACCATATAGTGACCTAGACGGAGGGCTGAGTCATGAAGGTGGAACAGTGTGAATTAAGGGAGGAGAAACCACTGCAGCAACAGAGTGCCCATTGGCAGAGGGCACCATATGGGAAGAAAGCTGCTATGCCATGCCTGGCCAGGAGGAGGTGCTCTTGTAGTGAGTGATCGCTGTTACAGGGCCAGTCACATTAACAAAACTAAAGTCAGCTCACACAAGAGGACAATTGCTATTGCAGCTTGGCAAGATGTTTGCTGGAGATTTTAATAAAGCATTGGCCAGTCACTGATCAAATAATGCCATATAGTTAGCTGCTCGGGGCCAACATATATTCCAGGTATCCCACACAGTGCTTAATTTGTACCAGGCACCTCTGGCCTTGCCAGTTCGCAGCCCTGGCACCTCTGGCCTTGCTGCATCAGTTACGAATGTAAAAAAATTGCTTGAACCTCTTTCATTACAAATTAAGCACTGATCCCACATCATCATGAAGGTCTATTGATAATGGCTTGTAGGCTGATGTCAACTCCCTAGAGAATAAGTTGGTCAGCAGACTAGGATACTCACAGGTGTTGTGTCCTAGGGAGGAGCAAGGTGAAAACTACCATCATCAGCCGCCAAGCAGAGGTCTGAGACTGAGAGAGGAGAGGAGGGGATTCGGGGAAAGTATGCCTAGCATCACAGAACACCATCTTCTCCAGATTGTTAGGCAGTGGCGTTGAAGTCTGCTGTTCAGTCCTTCTAGACTGAGAGAATAGAGACCCACCCCACACCAGGCCCTGGTAGTGGGAGCATATGTGATGTGTGGGACAGCAGTATGTTTCCGAACCCATGTAGAAGGGGCTGCCTGCCTGTCTGGTTCCTGCTCTGATTCCCTCTGATCGGTGCAGATGGTGGAGGGGTCATCACAGCCAGGAAGACACACTGAGTGATTCTTTGTTCCTGGAATTCATGCGTATATTTTCAGTTCCCACCTCCTTGCTTTGGGGGTCAAACAGATCCTACATCCCTAAGTAAATCTCATCCCAGGCTGCCCTGTTCAGGCAAAATTTGGAGTCAAACCCATAAAGGTATGTAGGGCTCCCAACCAAACCCGCTAAGGGGGCAGAGCCCCAAACCGTATCTGTATCAGCTTGGGCTCACCTAATACTCACCTTAGGTTTGCTGAACATATAAATGAACTTTTCATCAAGCCTAGCTTGGGTGTCAGTGTGAAGGGAGTGGGTTTCCATGCTAATCTCCCTCACACAACATGCACCATGGAGTATAATCCTAAAGGTTATCCTTTCCTGGGATTTGCCTCTATTCTTAACTTAAGCCCTGTGGCAGGACTGCACTTACAGATATAAGCCTTTAGCCCATATTTCTGTTTTTTAGGGCTTTCTCCTTCAGGACCGTCTGTACATGTGTAGTGAGGCTGAGTGGCCTCCCTCTGAGCAGGAGAGCAAGGGAGCCTTACATGCCCCTTGGGGGGTTGGAGCCTAGATCGCTCCGCCCCCCTCGCCAGAAGTACCAGGGCGTGGCCGGAAGTATAAAAGGCCGGCCCTGCAGCTCAGTTGGGGGAGAGCCTGCAACGGAGGAGAATGGTCGGCCTGTTCTCCAGAGGCCCCGAGAGGAACCTGCACCTGGCTGTTCCCGATCCCCAGGCGTGGATGACGACTGGCCCGGAGTACCTGCTGCCATTTACCCCGAAGAGCTGGAAGAGGCCTGGAGGCTGCAGGTACCAAACCCCGGGGAGGCAGGAAGTAGCCCAGGGGCAGCCACGGAGCAGTCGGCTGCAGAGCCCGGCATGGCTCAGTCGGCATGTTGCGGCCGGATCCCTGCTGACACGGGCAGCCAATCCTGTCCCTGTCAGGGCCCTGGGCTGGGACGCAGTGGAGTAGGGTGGGCCCATGTCCCTCTGCCACCCCACCCTGGGTGGCTGACCCTCTACATGGTGCAAGGAGGCTCTAGCCCAAGACAGGAGCTCCCTTACCACTCACCTTAGAGACTGTTTGTTTGCTGGCTGCCTGAGCTCTGCCCAGGCCCCAGCCAGCCCTGATAGACTGTAGTTAAGGGCTGACCACTTGAGCTACCCCACTCCAGGCTACAGCCTGATATTGACTATTTACTGCGCAGCCCTATTGGGGCTTTTGCCTGTTTTAGACACTCTGGTCCTGCCTCCAGAGGACTAGCCTGAGTGGCCTCCCTCCGACCAGGAGAGCGAGGGAGCATTACAACATGCCTCTAGCTTTCTCTTTCCACAAAGAGGCTCTCAGCACTCTTATGTTCCTGAGTGGATCTAATTAGACCCACCTGGTCTGGGTTCCCTCAGGGAGTCAGTAGAACAGCTCTGCATCCCCTTACAGGGCCCTAAAATCCAGCACATGGTTATGCTCTCATCTGTGACCAAAATCTTTGGTACCAATCTTGCTAATAAGCCCCTGCTCAGAAGTAGCAGACTCTCAAAGGATGAGTAAAGGCTTTTCCACTTCTGAAGGTGTGATGATGACTCTAACCTAGCCTGGCTCTGGAGAGTGAGGAAGAAGGAAGAATACAACAGGGTGAAACTGGGAGGAACATCCCCAAGGCTCTAAGGCATGTTGGACCCTCCCATCTATTTGCTAGGGGCTTGAGGGGAAAAGGAGCTATACTGTAAGAGCCAGGATGGCAGAATGAGAGGCAAAAGCCAAGGCACAGTACCTGCAAGTACACAATCTCTTCCAGGACTAGGCTATGCGACAGATGTTCCTGCTTGACCTGTTTGGCCAGGAAAGCCCAGTGCTGGTTCACAGAAGTGCACCTGTTCAGGCTCTTTGTATCCAGAAACCCTGAGGAATTACAAGGAGAAGCTGGTTAACCCCAAGCTATGGTCATATAGCATTGATGTGCCCATGGGGCAGCTGTGCTTGGGAAGGAAGAGGGGCCATACCCAGGATGTACTTGGACAGATGGGTCGGCAGGCAGCGGATGAAGTCCTTATACTTGTTGACATTGGAGGCTGACGGGAAAGCTGCAGGGACAACGGCGGGGGCTGGGACGATTGAAGACATGGAGGATATATCATCATCCACTAACGCAGCTCTCTCACAATGCATGTGCGCCAGGTCTCTGGGCCAGAAGCACGGTATCTGCCCTTGGACACCTATGCCTGGGGCAGCAGAATCAATAGCATGTTAAGGTCTCCCAGGAGTGCCTGAGCCTTGGGGTATAGTCATAATATCAGTTATTAACTACCAAACCTGCTCCCCCTAATTTCTCATTACCCCACAGCTCCCCGGGATATTTTCAGCACTCTGAGTTCTATGGTAGCTGAAGGTACGTCATGAAGAACAACCCACCCTGTCCACTCTTGGGCTTTGAAGTATCTTAGATAACACCCCACATTAGCTCCTTTTGTTACAGTACCTATATCACTAAACAGGCTGGTTCCTTCTGATGAGACCCCACTTTCTAGGGCTGTGGAAGAAGTCAGGAAGGATTGAGATGTGGGTCGCAATTGCACCTGGGAGCTGGATTTCGTGTGTTCCTCTAGCTTGAAGCTGCTTTGGGTCTCAGTGAAGACCACAGTGATTTTGTCTTCCTCGTCCTCTGAAAGAATTGCGCAAACATAGGAGCAATCAAATCAAACAGAGCTAAATCATGGGTCACAGAGGTAGAGATGAAAGGGACCTGTTAGGTTATCTGCCCCATTCCCCTTGGCTAGTGTAGGATTGGTTCCTTCAGGGTTTTGTCTAGGTGATTTTAAGGACTTGAGCATTTATGTCTACCATTTCGCTTGGAAGTCTTTTGCACAGTAGACCTCATATTAGAAAATTATTTCACCCCATTATTGCTAGTTGTACTCATCCCAGACCGCCCTATACAATTCCTCTCTTCCCTGGGTGTTCATCTCTTGCAGACAGTTACCGTGTTCCCACACATATATACCCCATCCAGTTCCTATGGGCTGGCTATGTGAGGGAGTCCTAGTTGCTTGCTAGAAGTAAACCTGGGTCAGGACTCCTGCCAGGTCTGAATCCCATCTGGCTCTGTCTGCCCACTGCCAGGGTTGCCTTTCTCCTCCTTCAGCTTCTGCTCTGCTACCGCCCATCACCAATCGCTCCCTGTGCTTGGAGACAGGAAGGATCAGGGAGGGGAAAGTTCTTAGGGATATAAGGGTTAACCAGAAGGTTTGTGATATAAATACAGCTATGAACAATATCTACAATCAATTCTGCTTTGCTCTTCAGCAATGATGCCTTGCGTTGCTGGCCCAGTCACTTCACCATCTAAGATGACAAGCATGTCTAAGGGGAGGATAGTCAGAGCTCAAGCATCAGGGGGCTAGCTGATCACTGCAGGGGGACAGGAAGGAATCCGACCCCCATGTACCGCACATCACAATTGGCAAAGTGCATTATGGGTTTCTTTCCTCCTCCCTCTGAAGCGTCAATATTGCCCACTCCTAGCTGCAAGATTCCATATTTGAAGCCACTGAACCAGACCCTCGGCTGCTATATGCTAGTGTTACTCACCCCCACTTCATCTGACCTGATGTAACAAATCCTGTGCTTGGAGTGAGTGTGTGGAGAGAGCATTATCAGGAGAAACACAGGCTTTTGGTATTGGGACAAGAAAATAATTCAGTCAAACTGCAACAATCCAAGCTCCCCAGAGTCTCTGGTGGTTTCATTTGATGCAGGTGCATATATTCCCAAGCGGCCTGGTACCTCTGTCCCTGCTTCTCACATGCTGAAAAGAACCACTCTGTGCAAACAGCTTGTTTCCTGGAGAGGAAGGATCACAAACAAGTCCCAGGGCTAAGCTGTCATAGCCTCGATGAAATGCACAGAGCACCTGGGCTCCAGCCCGAGTGGGAACACCTACACTGCTGGTTTTAGTCCCATAGCATGAGCCCAAGTCAGTTGACCTGGGCTCTGAGACTTGCTGCCATGGGATTTTTATTTTATTTTTATTTTTTTTGCTGTGTAGACGTACCCTAAGTCTCTTAATAACCAGATTCAACGAAATGTTGTTAATTGCAAAAGCAATGATGTGCCAGAGAAAAGGTCATCTCTCCGTGACGCGGGGCATGGAGAAAAGGAAAGCAAAGGAAGGGATTCAAACAGTGGGCAGAATCCTGGAAAACCACATTGCCTTCCAGTCCCAAATAAAGTGATGATAAGTGAAAGCAATTGTCCTTTCAATATCACTAATGTGAACTAGAAAAGGCAGCAGAAGGGAAACAAACAAGCACACCAGTAAAACTCAAGAGTAGATCTGATTTCACTGGATGTAGCGAAGTTTGCTGCTAGAGCTCCTGTTCTATCTAAATTAAAGTTCATGGACCAGATAACTAGCTGGTGTAAATCCAGGGAGCTCCACTGGAGTTAATGCAGCTGCACCAATTTACACCAGATAAGGGAGGATCTGGCCAGGTATTTGTGGATATTGTGCATTATTTTTATGGTTCTCATATCCTTTACTTTCTTCCCTCTTACCTATGTTCATTGAAAAGTAAAATAAAACCCTATTTGAAAATCTGTCCTATGGTCATGATGTTTCCAAACTTGTACTTAACTCTAGTAACAGCATTTGCACCCCTAGGTACTACTTATAACTGGTTTTTAAAAACACAGGTAAGTGAATAGCAGCTTTAGGACAGGTTTTGCCACCATTACTCATAGTGAGTTAGTACCATACTCTGCAAGTGGCCTTTGAATTCAGTGGATCATATCCTCAGCTAGTGTAAAGTGGCAGACAATGGAACTACACTGATTTACTCCTGCTGAAGATCTGGCCCGATGCAGCTATTTGTACAGTAAAGTATCACGCAGTGGTAGGGAATCAGAATCTGGCCCTTTGACTTTATCCTCTCTCCTTGGTTAATCCTGAAAGCCAGGGGTCAATCTCTCCCGCCACCCAGCATATCACTCTGTTTACCTGTTTCTCTTTTTGAGCTGGCACTCTGCTCTCTGACCAGGAGGACTCTGACCAGGTTAGCAGCTATAAACAGTAACTTAGGGTTACACATCTGAAGCAAGAGCAGAGTGTAGTTTGCTTTAGTCCAGTAGGAACTGTTTTTGAACCACTTCCAGGTCTCCGACATGGCTTTCTCTAGAGTTACTATATTCAAAGCCCGGTCAGAAGTGGACGTGGTCATGTCTTCTTTGAGGCTGGGGGTGATTCGGGACCGGCTGAAAGTGAAATCCTTCCCGTGGGAGGTCTGCAGGACTTTCTCAGCATAGTTTAGCAAATCCAGGCTGTTGAATCGCTTCACGATCCCCACCAGGAACTTCCTTTGGGAGACATCGCTGGCCCGCAGGAACCACTCTTTGGTAGAGAAAACTCTCCAAGCCAAGACACATGTCTCACAAATTTGGCAAACAGGCACTAAATCTGTTTTCTTCTCACACCGCAGATCAGGAGCACAGTCCAGCCTGTATTCCAGGCTCTCCTGGTCCTTTGAGGTCTCTTTCATTGTTTCAGATCCAATTCAGCAAACAGGGCACCGAGCTGGGCAGTGGGAAAAGCAGAGAAATATAACCTGCTTTCTAATCGTCCGCTTCCATCCTGTGACATTATAAAAATAACACTAAGAAACTGACTGAACCCTGCGATGGACGAAGTAGCCACATCACACGCTGCTGTTTGTAGAACTCTTGTCTTTTATTGTACAGAACTCCTAGGAGACACAGTTGTTACCGTAAACCTCCTAGAATTTGCATGAACAAAATATCCTAGCAACTACTATACCGTATAGCTTGTAATATCCATGATGCACCAGTATCAAGACATTCATGGGATGATATGAAAAATTAGACACTATCCTTAGTTTGGATTGGTACCAAAGGTGTCTAGTTTGCGTGTCTTATTAATTATTATTATTATTTTGTCAGTATTTATGTCTAAGGAAATTCTGCCTCATTAAGGGTTTTAAAAATCTGGTTTTATTAGAATTGTTTCAAATACTGGTCCCCACAAAAGTCCCATAATCCTGGCAATTAGCTCCAAAAAAGGAAGGTGAGGGGGATTTTTTTCTGCCTAGGTTTGATTACTGCAAAAAGTGAAAATACAGGTTTTGGGGGGGCTTATATCTCATGTAATTATATTCTTGAAGTTTTGTTTTGAAGGCTTTTTATTGGGATTGATGAGTTTTAGCCTAAAACTGGCAGGCCAAAGCATTGTGCACAGATGACTGTCGTGCCCTCAGTTTAAAAAGAAAAAAGTAAAGTTTTGCAATAAAAAGTTTCCTTAATAAAAAAAGGATAATCATTTGAAAACTGTAAATGCGTGAAATATGAATGAGCCTCCTGCCTCCAGAATGCATAAAGCAGTGCTCTCAAATAGTTGGGAACCACATGCGATGGCCCCAAATCAGAAAGCACCTAAACATGTGCTTAAGTTTAAATCATGTGAGTAGCCCTGCTGAAGTCAATTTGATCTTGTGTTGGTAAAGGATGTGTCTTGAGCTCAACAAGGGGTAAGATGTTAACGAAATCCGTGTTCACTGTTCCAACATTAAACAGTTCAGTGTGGTCCGGGATTTTGTGTCAAGTTATTGCCGGCAAGGCAGCTCCCAGTATAATGACCACCATTTAAAATATTTTAAACCTTCTATTAAAGACCCAGACAAAGAAGGAAAAACTGTTAAAGCATTTGAAATATAAATTCTTAAGTAAGATTTTTGTTGTAACAATACCCCTTTTTTCCCTTTCCCTTTAACTAGATAGAGTTTTTATTGGGAGAAACCCATGCTTGGCAGCCTTTTCAGTGTTATTAAAGATTGTATTTACTATCCTTTTGGCAGGGAAAGGGAAAAGGCTAGTTTAGATGGGCTAGAGCTGTTGTTGGAGTCCAATCCTGTCTCCTTTTAAGATGAAGCACAAAAGGGGAGAGAAAAGAACATCGATGAGAGAGAGAGAGAGAGAGAGAAAAGGCAGCTTCTGTGTCTGGTGCTGATTTTCACTTGCAGCCTTGCTGCTGGAGGAACACAGGCCCAGCACATGGTCTCGTCAGCAGCTCCAAGACTTGGCAAACTTGTACCAGAGTCGGGCTGTTTAAAGCATTGCTTTTAGCTGTCTTTATGCCCACAGGCTTACAGCAGTGTTGCAAAAGATGGAGTTGTCTTGGCTCACTCAGCCAAAGTCTTATTAGACAAAGGCAGAAGGAGAAAGACAATGACACAGTAGGGAGCGGGTGACAGCAGGAACCCAAGGCTCACATTCCAGGTGTAGTTCTGGATTTAGTCAAAACTGGTGTAGGTGGTGATGTCATTTGGATCCCTCTCTCTGGCCTAGTCTGTTCAAGAGGCCTTTTAGGACCAGGATAATGAAGGCCTAATGGTGGATCTTGGGGTCCTAGGAGATGGATGGGGTGGCAGCCATGATGGTAAAGTTTGCTCCTTCCAGTCCACCCATCCTCCTGTTCCCATTTTAGGGACCCCAAGACCAACAATGTCCAAGACAGGGCAGCAGCCTCATTCTATTAGAATTAACCAATCAACACATTTCTGTTATTTCAACTACAAACTTTCCCTCCCATTTCTATAGTTGTTTAGATCATTATCATTCCAACCCCTGACTTTCGTAGATTCCAAGGCCAGAAAGGACCATTGTGATCATCTAGTCTGACCTCCTCTGTAACGCAGGCCTAGAACTTCCCCAAAGTAATTCCCAGAGCAGAGCTTTCAGAAAAAAATCCAGTCTTGATTTAAAAATGGTCAGTGATGGAGAATCCACGACAGTAAATTGTTCTAGTGGTTAATTGCTGTCAGTATTTATGCCTTATTTCCAGTCTGAATTTGTTTAGCTTCAACTTTGCCAGGAGCCTTGGAAGACCAATTATTACTGCTCTTTTAACTGAATTCAGTTTGTACTCATCTGTTGGTCTCTAGTTGTTGCTTAATTTCACAAACATTTGCCTGTAACAGGCTATGTTATGGAACCTGTTACCTTGAACAACTTAAAGCAGTGTTTCTTAAATGATGGGTCATGACCCCAGGGAGGAGGGTGTCACAAAATGCAACCAGTGGGGTCACAAGGCATTAAACATTGTATTACAAAGCAAAGAGAATCTTGCTCCTCCTCTGCGGGCCTAGGGTTGCCAACTTTCTGACCTAACAAAACCGAACACCCTTGCCCCGCTCCTGCCCCGTCCGTTCTCTGAGGCCCTGCCCCGCTCACTCCATCACCCCCACACACACTGTCACTCACTCACCCCCACCCTCCCTCACTCACTCATTTTCATCGGGCTGGGGAAGAGATTTCGACTGGGTGTTCGGTTGAAAACTGGACACCTGGCAACCCACGAGTCCCCGCGTATCCTTATCCTACACGATCAAGTAATCTTTACCATAAACATAAGGAAGTTGTGAACATTTTTAACTTCAAATAAGGACTTGCCAACCTGGAAAGGCTGAGAAATACTGACTTAGAATAAGCAACAAAGAGTCCTGTGGCACCTTATAGACTAACAGATGTATTGGAGCATAAGCTTTCGTGAGTGAATACCCACTTCGTCAGACGCTTGTAATGGAAATTTCCAGAGGCAGGTATAAATATGCAGGCCAGAATCAGTCTGGAGATAACGAGGTTAGTTCAATCAGGGAGGATGAGGCCCTCTTCTAGCAGTTGAGGTGTGAACACCAAGGGAGGAGAAACTGCTTTTGTAGTTGTCTAGCCATTCACAGTCTTTGTTTAATCCTGAGCTGATGGTGTCAAATTATGCATCTGACGAAGTGGGTATTCACCCATGAAAGCTTATGCTCCAATACGTCTGTTAGTCTATAAGGTGCCACAGGATTCTTTGTTGCTTTTTACAGATCCAGACTAACACGGCTACCCCTCTGATACTTGACTTAGAATACAGGCTTCTGCACAATAGGGACAACTCTTGTGTTTAAAGTTAAGCACATGCTTAAATGCTTTGCTGAATTGGGACTTAAGAGAGTAAATGTATTTGTGACATTTACTGATTTAAGTTATTTTTCAGAAAGTGGAGTCTCTCAAAGGGCCCCTACTAACTGTTCTGTGGCATGGTAAAAATTATTAGTTATCATTACAGTATTTTTATTGCATTATGAAAATGGCAACACTCTTCCAAGATCTCACTTTTGTAGCTTGTATCACTTTGAATAAGCCTGTTATAAGACAAGGCTCCTATGTTTCAGATGTGAAACAGCATGAAGGCATTTAAGAAGCCAACTCAAAGAGTTCCTCCTACACAAGCATTCAGGTCTTGAGCAGTCCAGGCAAACAATACACGTTACAACAAAGCTTAAAATTTTTCATAATAATTTTAAAAACAATACTAGCTGCCTATATAATTTTAAAAACAGCAAAAAATATCCACCTTCCTTTCCATTTCTTATAAGGAGTCTTGAAGTTTAAATATCCTGCTTACTTTGATCTGCTTAGCTCTTGGAAGTCCAGGGGCTCCAGGCTGCTGGCCCCATGCTGCCCAGGATCCCTAGGGACATCTCTGACCGCCATTAGAGAATTTTTTCCCGAGAACCCCCTGTAACATTTTGCGAACCCCCAGGGGTTCACAAAGCCCAGTTTGGGAACCACTGCTCTAGGACCATGGTTTTCAAACTTTTTTTTCTGGGGATCCAGTTGAAGAAAATTGTTGCCCGTGACCCAACGGAGCTGGGGATGAGGGGTTTGAGGTGTGGGAGGGGGTCAGGGCTGGGGCAGAGGGTTGGAGTGAGGGCTGTAGGGTGGGGCTGGGAATGAGGGGTTCAGGGTGTGGGAGGGGGCTCTGGGCTGGGGCAGGTGGTTGGGGTGCAGGAGGGGGTCAGAGCTCTGGGCTGGGGGTGCAGGTTCTGGGGTGGGGCCGGGGATGAGGGGTTTGGGGGGGCTCAGGGCTGGGGCAGGGGATTGGGGCATGGACTTACCTCCAGCGGCTCCCAGTCATCAGTGTAGCCAGGGTGCAGAGGTCCACCTGTCCTGGCACCGTGGACCTCACTATCCTAAAAGAGCCTCTTTCAATGTGTTGTAACCAGAGGTGAAAGTAAGCCGGTACGCCCAGGTACGGCATACCGGCAAGAGCCGGTTTGCCATACCAGGGCAGCCCGGCTTCCCCAGGTGGCAATATAAAGGGCCTGGGGCTCCCAGCAGGGGCTGGAGCCCCAGGCCCTTTAAATTGCCACCAGAGCCCCACTGCTGGAGCCCTGGGGTAGGGCTGCAGGGCACTGGGGGCTATTTAAAAAGTCCAAGGCTCCCGCTGCTTCTACCGCCCCGGCCCTTTAAATAGCTGCCGGAGCCCCACCGCCACTACTCCAGGGCTCCAGCGGCTATTTACAGGGCTGGGGCAGTAGAAGCAGGGGAGCTGCCGGCCCTTTCAATAGCCCCCAGGGTTAGCAGGGGGCTCCAGGAGCTATTTAAAGAGCCCAGGGCTCCAGCTGCCTCTGCCGGCCCTGTCCTTTAAATAGCTGCTGGAGGCCCGCCGCTTCCCCAGGGCTGCCACTGCTATTTAGCG